TGTGTTGTCCAGTGGTCACTTGAAGATAACTCAAGAGGTAGCCCTGTGAGATCCGATTCCGTGGGCCACTCTCTACTAACACGAGGTGTTGCCCTTCTGTGCGAGAAAAATCGGCATGACTTTTTGTCGCGGGGGGGGGGGGGGTGGGGGGAAATACCAAATAAAACTTCTGCAAACTTAATTTGGCTCGAGTGGGAGGTTGCTAATCACCACCTACCCCAGTCAACCCCGAGTCGGCGCTGTCCATGGTAGCAACTCGAGAAAAAGTTACACATTTATAAAGCGCGCAGTTGCCTTAAATTTCAGAGACGCGGACAATCCGCAGACACGCGGCAACCAGCCTGTGAGCACTCTCCAGCCATGCAGTCCTCTGTATGGCCACGTGTTATCGGTCAATTAAACCTGTGGATGGAAACCGGACGAGTAGCCAGATGGAACATACGGGGATTAGTCCACACGCTGGCCGTACCGCCATCTGGCCCACGTGAATGGGAGTCGCGCGACAATTGAACTTTATGGCAGGACCCCGGGGTCCCATAAGCCCCCGGCTCTCGGATAAACTGAGTTGCGACGTCATTTTACGTCTGTTGAAGGCGAACGACACGTCGATCTATTCCTCTCGACGAGCTCTACACGATGCGCTCATCAAAGTTTCAAAGTTTTGCTTCTTCTGCGAATTCGTCCTCGCTGCTGCGCTTGGAAGACGCGCCAGGCGGGTCGCGGCATTTATGTGCGCGGTGGTACGGAGTCGCCAAAAGTAAATAATTTATTACGATTTTGACTTCCGTTTATTCGGGACTCCGGGGTCCCCGCCGTAAGGTTCAATTTGTACGATTCACAAACCCTCGCCTCCGCGGTGCGGGGGAATTGCTGGCAGCCGCACGTGCATGGCCAACCGCGTCCTTTGGATCTCGGCACGACGACACTCACCCACGTGCTGCCCGTGGCTGGGTCAGCCTCTGCACCAGCTGCTGGATCTCGTACTCGGTGAGGCGCTGGCTCCCGCGAGCTCTCCCGGTAGACATAGCTGATGCTCGGCACACACACACACACAAAGGCACACGAACAAAGACACATACACAAAGACACACAAACAAAGACACACACAAACAAAGACACACACAAACAAAGACACACAAACACAAAGGCACACAAACAAAGACACACAAACACAAAGACACACGAACACAAAGACACACACACAAAGACGCACAAACACAAAGACACACACACAGACCCCCCCCCCCCCCCCCGTATGGCATGAAGCAAGTGCTGTAAGCGAGCAGCCGTGAAGATGGGTGGAGAAGAAGTTATAACTCGCCACTCCACACTATTTGGTTCTTTCGGTAAAGTCAAGTAGGTAGAAAAAATATAAATATATATCACCACGCTTCGATCGCAACACAAGCGGTCGTCCTCAGGCGGAAAAAAATGAATCCACCACTCCTGTTCACACAAATAAAACGATTCACCTTATAGCCTCGCCACACCCCCCCTCCCCAATACAACAAAGACAAAGGTAAAGATCCCTCGTATAATCTTTACCAGACTGTTGGGGCAAGTGCCGTTAGCACCTATGGAGGGCAGCATGGCACACAAGGGGGTTGGTGACCAACACCACGCCCGACCGCCTCTGTCTCCCCAGTGACGATGTTTACATACCTCACCGTGTACTCATTTGAGGCTGAGTCTACCTAGGGGAGGCCCAGGACCGGTTGAGATAATCCTTAGTGGTCTTGGCCTTGAGCAGGAATTGAACTACGCTACTGATCCCACTTTGCTCCCCACATACACGCAAAAACTATTAAGACAAAAACCCAAGTAGAGCCTTAACAGATTGTAGGGGCAAGTGCTGTTAGCGAGCACCTATGAAGGCCGACACGGCAAACAAGAGGGTGGGTGGCCAGAACCACGCCCGGCCGCCTTTGTCTCCCTAGTGGCAATGTGGTTTTTTTACACACTGCACTAGGTACTCAATTGACGCTGAGTCGACCTAGGAGAGGCCCGGTTCAGGTAATCGTCACCGGTGTTGGCTGTGAGTAGGAATCAAACTTGCAGCTCTGGGTTCGTAGCGCAGCGCGCTAACCGCTACACCACCGCTCCCCATTGCGCTCCACACACACACACCGCTGCATGTTCACGCGAGTGTATTCCATGAGCGAATAGAACATTTGAAAAAGCCTTACCTTCTGCAGGGGCATGAAGATAGATGTGAGCCTTCCCTCGACCTCAACCCCAGCTCCTATCACAATGCGTCACGTTTGGGTGGCCGTTTCTATGGCGGTGGTGTCAACATTCGGTGCACTCACTCCAAGGACTTTACAGACTCAGCCTTGTTTGCGTTTCACCCACAGAGGCAGCTGCGTGACGTGCAGAGGGTCACGACATGGGGTCGGAACACCTGAGTTCGAATCCTGGCTTGAACCGTCCAACCCTAATTAAACCGGGTTCCGAAATGTGACGAGTTGATGGCCTCAGCCTGGTCACCGGTGACTTGCATAGAGACCCATAGATTTTCACACAGACCCATAGACTCGTGCAGTTAGGTGCAAACATGTGAGGAGAGACAGATATGGGGGGGGGGAGAGTTTGGGGAGAGAGACATGGGAAGAGACACGGAGAACGAGGAGGAGAGAGATGCAGAGAGACAGCGAAAGAGACTCAGAAACATTTATAAACAAACACAGATACAGAGACATGGAAGCTACACACACTCAGGTATAGGATAAAGAGAGATATACATGGAGACAGAGAGACAGAAGGAGACGGATACGGAGAGACATATACACGGAGAACAACACAGTGACACATAGACACGGAGAGTCAGAGCAATACATACAGTGAGGGGAAAAAGTATTTGATCCCCTTATTTCCCTCATTAAAATGCAAATCAGTTTATAACATTTTTGACATGCGTTTTTCTGGATTTTGTTGTTGTTATTCTGTCTCTCACTGTTCAAATAACCCTACCATTAAAATTATAGACTGATCATTTCTTTGTCAGTGGGCAAACGTACAAAATCAGCAGGGGATCAAATACTTTTTCCCTCACTGTACTCTAAGCAGGAAGATTATATCATCGATGACATTACAATTCGAGTATTGGATTTATGATGCTTAAGACTGTATCATGAAATGTATTTTGGATCTTATATTATGAACTTACGGGACTGCAAAGTCAAATCCTGAACATGGGCAGTTTTGATTTGAAGCTTTCGTGACCGCAGGAATCCCTCACATAAACATAGCCACTTCCGTGCCCTCGTCTAAGAGGCCGCTCTCCTATCTTAGTTACATGCTAATTTCTCACATTAACATCACTAGCACCGGCCACTTCTTTATAACCCTTGAGCTACACCCATTTCAAACCTTTTAAAACAGTCTGCCTCAGCAGCAGACCATGCTTTCCCACCTGATGATGGACGCTTGTGTTGCACCCGAAACGTCGTGATTTATTTTATTTTATACCTGCGTGACTTTACCGAAAGAACCAAAGCATATGGGCAGTTTTACTGTATCCGTCTCCTTCTGTCTCTCTGTCTCCATGTCACTGTTGATTTAAATTGCTACATACTTCCTCGATAATTAAGGCAGATAATTATATAAACTGTGTACGCTGGTCTTAGCACAGGGGCTAAATATTTTTTTAAATAACTTCGCTGCCATGGTAATTTTATTAAAAAGCTGCAAGTATGACCGGATTATTACTCTACTCGTTCATCAGATGATTTATTTAAAACACAAATATAAATTCTTCAAGCCCTTCAGAAAATCTCCCCTGCCCGCCTCCAACTTGATTGGTGATGGAAAGTGACGAGGAATAAACTGTATCGTGGCATTGTTTGAAATGTCACTACAGTGTAAATATGACATTGTAAATACCTTCGGTGTTTATTCCTTGTAAAAGTAATTAAAATGTTAATTGTCAATGTACATTTTGCATTTTGCAAATACGTCGTAGATTTATTAACACGACTACCTGATTAGCGTCGCCTCAACCTCACACTTACGTCGCTGACAGCTTCATCGTCATCCGTCCTTCCTCCTATCCATTGCCTCTCAGCCTTCGCCTCCACCTACCCTGTAAATCGCTTTGACTGACGTCGTTTCGATATTCGTTGTCGCACCTTTCAGGAACGCATCCATGACGTAAACCGGGGGTATTGCTGTACCACATTATTGTTTAATGTATGAATTCATTCCTGACAGGAAAACTTCAGCTTTACCCAGTGTATTTTATTCATCCAAGTTTATCAATTGCTCCAGCAAATAAAAAAAAATAAGCACGTCCAATTAACAAAAAGTTAAAACTTTACACACTGCGATTTTAAATTTACATCGAGGCCAAACAAATCAAATGAAAACCTTTAAAGTGTTATGTAAAATTCATCATAGAATTAAAGAACAGTTGCGATTTTTAGTTTGCATTTATATAGTTTTTTTAAAATAAACAATAGCATAAACACATTTTCTAAAAGTTATTACCTTTTTTGTGGGTGGTGATTTATTAAGATAGTAATACAAATAATGGACAACCCATCATCAATCGACTAGCCAGATATATGTTTCATAATAAACGTTTTTGGGTTAGATCGCGTTATTTATAAATATGTCGTAACCCTCCACCACCCGACACGGCCAATCAGTAAAAAAGTGTCACGTTGACAAAAGACAAATAGTTCACTACTTTAGCCTACCGGTGTGTTGAAGAGTGAATCCACAACATTTAAAAATTTTGAGTACGACGTTTCGCTGGTAATTACATCCAACATCATCGGGCAATTTGCCAGAATAGTTATCTTGGGTCGATGAGGCTGGATGTAATTACCAGCGAAACGTCGTACTCAAAAATTGTAAATGTTGTGGATTCACTCTTCAACACACCGGTAGGCTAAAGTAGTGAATTATTTGTCTTTTGTCAACGTGACACGTTTTTACTGATTGGCCGTGTCGGGTGGTGGAGGGTTACGACACATTTATAAATAACGCGATCTAACCCAAAAACGTTTATTATGAAAAATATTGGTCGCGAAAGCCTACGTGTTAAACAGATATAGGTTTCCCCACGCCATGGTGATTGTGTGACCATACTTCACCACACTGGTCAGTTAGGGTCAGGAAAATAGATGGCCCAGAATCAGTTACGATATAACCCGCTATTGATGCTTTTCCACAGCCAGGAATTTATCTTGGGTCGCCGAGTTCACAGTGCAATGCGCTTGCTGCAATGCAAACCACTCCCTTCATGATTAAATACAAATTTAATGTGGTCTGTTGAGCATTGTGGCTGGCATCAGTGATGAAATCCCACGTTGTTACAAGACTTATTGCATGCACCTCCAATTAGCACGGTTGGCTATGTACGGTGCGAAAGAAGTTCAACGTACAGATGTGAATGCACGTACAACTTTGATGGTTATGAAATAACAGGAAAAGTAATCACGTTACAATATTCAATGTATTTTCACCTAAATACAACTTTGAAAAAATGACAATGTGACCTTTACCAACTCTGCTTGTTCAATTCCGACATGAGGGCTGCGGTGAATAGTAATTCTTCTTTTCCAATACACAACTGGACTTTAGGAGGCATCAGGTCGTGTTTTTTTCCCTGCAGAAGCCGAACCGTGTCATTGACTTCATACGCAATGAATGATTCTCAGACGCATTTAGATGACACGGTGATGCTGCGTTGCTGTGGCCTCATGGCACACTCACTGACGTCGTGCAATGAACGCCAGGCCCTGTTTGGCCCCGAGCCCGATTCAGCCGCCTTGTGAGGTCAACGTATCGTGGTTTGGTTCTGTCTTTGCTTTCCAGTGGAAAACCATCCATCCACGCGCCGGCTCGGCTCGGATATGCCAATGGAAAAGGGGTATAATGTGGCTGTTCAGGTGCCGCAGCATTCTCCCTCACCTAGCACTGCCGTATTTCCCCGTGACGATAAAATCAAGTTCAATCCACATTGTCTGTGGGGGGGGGGGCACACGGTGTATATGGAGAAAGAGAAAGGTGACATTCCCTTAGTCACCTTTTGTATTATATCTTCACAAATTGCATAAAATGTGAAAACGTTTAATCCCTCGTACCCTTTTCCACTGGCACATCCAAGCTGAGCTAGCATGGAGCCCTCACAGCTTAGTTGACTTTTCCACTGGCTATTTGCCGAGCCTGGCCAGAACCAAACCTTGCTCCGCTGGCTTCAATGGACATCTGACTCAGGCTCGAGGCCACAGCAAGGCCAGGGGCGGGTCCAAACGAGATGCGTTCATTGGACTTGACATCAAACGCAGCTTCTGAATGTTCAGACTCGTTCGCTACGTGTGTGGTGGCGGCAATATGCTGACGGTCACGGCTTCTGCGGTGGGGGAAAAAAAAAAACATATGCCCTGCTGACTCCTGAGCTCCACCGGGCTGGCTCGGCACGGCCCTGATCCGGCTCAGTTCTGCAGTGGAAAAATAAAAGGCGTCGTCCTTATGACGTTTGGTAATTCAGTTTTAATAGTAGTTTATGATGTACTCTGGGTAGATCTGATCAGAGTAAAATATCGCGAAGATCAATGGATTTTTCAGGTCGTCGACGGCACTGTCGTAGACGTTCACCAGGGATGCGTCTTTGGAGGGCGTGTGAAGGAAACATGGGTGCATCCGTTCCGGGGGACAGCTCTTCCCAACAAGGACCCGGGCCAAGAACATGCAGCCATGCCCCCCTGTGGAATTGCGGTGTTTTTCGAAATACGTGTGAGAATAGTAGGGATTCCACGAAAAATAAACAGCTGTGGATGACAAGAGAAATAGCATTCGTGTGACACGCACATACACGTGGAACAAACATTACGTTTATGTTACATGTACAGGGTGGCCACGCAGTTCCTTGCCATTAAATATTGTTATATTCGGAACGTTATGCCCTTACAATTTGGGATTAGTTGAATCAGGAATTCAGTGGATGATGGATTGGGAGAGGATCTAAGATGATGTGACCGCCCCGAAGCCCCGACCTGACAACATTCCCCAGAGGGAATTATCAGGGAGATTGCTTTATACCTACGTAAGATTGACTAATATTGAGGAGCTCAAAACGGCTGTGCGGAACTGCTTTTACGGTACGCAGCCATCCACGTGGAAGAATCTGTCAAGGACAAGTTTGACACAAATCCAGCTTTGTGCCGAGAATGGAGGGCATCACCTGGGATGTTATATTTTCGTCATGCAAAGGGACTTTGTGGCCACCCTGTAGTATATCCATTCCACTTCATGAGCTTTCAATACACTGATAGCGTGACGATTTCACATTTATGAACACAAATGTAGGCAACCGTATCGTGTCCTTAAATATTTAATGGCCCAGGTGGCCAGGAGGCTCAAGAGGTCGGAGGAATCTGGGTTGCCACCCATGCCTAAGCCGAGTTTGCAAATATTGCCTGGACCAACTGTGCCAATCGGAGGTGCAGGGAAAAAGACAACAGACTAAACACAAAAACAAGTTCTTACGTTGGCTAAATTCCCAGCTCTGGGAATTAAAAGTATCGGTTTAAATGTTACATGATCATCATAGCAAAAAATAACTTATTTGAGAAATCCGAAAGGGTTCTTCTTTTTATATTTTATAATTTCAATAATCCCTGTCGTACAGTATTTTAGCATTTATTCTTTATTATGTTGTATTTTTAAATACGTTTTTCTGCTGCACTTTTGTGCTTACACAATGGAATTTGCCATTTTCCTGTACTTATTCAAACCCAGATATCAAATAGACATATATATTGATGATATCAGTGGCGTGGTTAGCTCTGGAATGCCTTGCTCATGCCACTGCTGGAGGGAGGGCTTCCCCTAGAACGAGATCTAGAGAAGTCCCTCTATCGGGTATTTGGCTTACTCTACCACGCGCGATGGAAATACAGTGTGGGTCATCCCGCTTGTGTGGCCCACACTGTACTTCCATCGCACGTAACATACCGATAAACCAAACCGTGGTGTTACCCGATTATACCGCTGCGTAATAAACCTGCACCGTTGTCTCAGCTGCCGGAGATCAGAGATCGAATGGGAGACTTCGACATTAATCAAGAAGAGGTCATTCAATCTGCACATTTTCACTAATGGAATGTAGACAATACTTGTGCTTTACAGCTATCACTCTTCATTTCATTTTCCCGACCATATCTTGATTTTATTTTGTTTTCCTACATCATAACTGGGGGGGGGGTACTATTGTTACGTTTGCTTTGGCCGGTCTTCCGGACATCGCCGTTTTTCATGTACCTGCTGTTGTTGAAAAATATCCATACAATTAGTTGTGGAAAAACATGGGGAGAAAAAAATCGTACCCCTGCCAAGCCGGAGTACATTCCTGGAGTAGCGAGAGTCAAAATTTCTGCGGCAGATGGAATTTAATGCGTTTGGTCTTGTCTTGTGAAACAGTCGCTGTTCATTCAAGTTCTCTTTGCCGTTGTCTCTTGCCATCTTTTCTTTTTTCCTGTAGGTCGAAGTGTAATTGGTTACATACTCAGACTAGTTGGTTGCAGGATGGGTTAGTGCATTGGTGGCTGGTAAGTGAGCTTTTGACCAACACCATAGTGTTGGTAAGTGAGCTTTTGACCAACACCATAGTGTTGGTCAAAAGCTCACTTACCAGCCAAAAGCTCACTCAAAAGCTTGCTTGCGGTGGTCTCACTTCTTTGCATAGCAGAATTATATTATATTTTACAAACTGAGCTCTCTGATTATTTTACAGATGTAAGGTGTTCTATGTTTCATATCCAATGCTAAAATGGAAGGTGAGGCATACAGTCCAGTCGGCTTTCTTTACAGATATAATGAGATTATGGCAAGATTAGATTGGGGCTGTTTACGTTGCAGATGCTAATATCGAATACAGTGTAGACATCATTGCAAGTAATCCAAGCAAAAAATTAGGAAAACATTACCAATTTTACAGTCTTATAAGCATTCATAAAATACATAATTTAGGGATTTTTTTTTTAAAAAAACATCTTTTCAAACAAATACACGATTCATTACCCCACATTAACAGAAATTCAACGAATACTTTTACACGAAATACGGATAAAGCATCGTGTAACACTGCCTCAATTCTGTAACGCTTTCCGACGTCTGTTTTCCCTCGGAGGGATTTCACGAGAAGTGGAGTGCCGTTGGCGCTCTGCGAAATGTAAAATAAGAGCCGCCGCCGTCACGTTCACGCTGTTCTCACGGAAAATCCCATTTCAGCCAGTTGCCCAGCTAGTTTCAGTGACAAAGGCCCACAGCCACTAACAATAGAGCTCTACGCGGGTCCGGTTTGTGCGGTTTCGCGTAAATGCGGCTCACCTATTTCTATCCAAAATTCGCTCGATGTGGTTTGAATTCACTCGTGTGCGGCTATGCGGTCCAACGTGGGACAACATTGTGTGTGTACTGCGTGCGTGTACTGCGTGTGTGTACTGTGTGTGTGTACTGCGTGTGTACTGCGTGTGTGTACTATGTGTGTGTACTATGTGTGTGTACTATGTGTGTGTACTGTGTGTGTGTACTGCGTGTGTGTGTACTGCGTGTGTGTACTGCGTGTGTGTACTGCGTGTGTGTACTGTGTGTGTGTAATGCGTGTGTGTACTGTGTGTGTGTGTACTGTGTGTGTGTGTACTGTGTGTGTACTGTGTGTATGTACTGTGTGTGTGTGTGTACTGTGTGTGTGTACTGTGTGTGTGTACTGCGTGTGTGTACTGCGTTTGTGTGTACTGCGTGTGTGTACTGTGTGTGTGTGTACTGTGTGCGTGTACTGCGTGTGTGTACTGCGTGTGTGTGTACTGTGTGCGTGTACTGCGTGCGTGTACTGTGTGTGTGTACTGTGTGTGTGTACTGCGTGTGTGTACTTTGTGCGTGTACTGCGTGTGTGTACTGCGTGTGTGTGTGTACTGTGTGTGTGTGTTGTGTGTGTGTACTGTGTGTGTGTACTGTGTGCGTGTACTGCGTGTGTACTGCGTGTGTGTGTACTGTGTGTGTGTGTACTGCGTGTGTGTACTGTGTGTGTGTACTGTGTGTGTACTGCGTGTGTGTACTGCGTGTGTGTACTGTGTGCGCTACTCGGCAGCCAGCTGCCTCGTGCGGTTTCACTTTGTGCGCCCTCTTTTTTGGAAAGCATCTACTACCGCATAGAGGGAAACCTGTAATGTAACATATCATACAGTACAATGCAATTTGTGTTCATAAGGCAAGTGAATTCCAATGGGCTCAAATAACAACTGGTTTCAGCAACACAGCACAAAGGATCTTACTTACGAATTGAAGGCAATGCTGACGATTTACCTTTGGTATATGTCCCAGAGATCGGGGTTGTTTACCCTTTTGATGCTGGAAATGGTGAAATATGTTTTGAACATTTTTTTATGGAAGGTTTCAGCCACAGTATTGTACTCAGGACTGCACTGGTTCAGCACTGACATCTGTTAAAATCAAGAAAGAAATGTATCTTCCGTCTGAGTTAAAACGAATTGCTGATGATGACATGACTATGAAGACGGTGCATACAAATTGTGACACATTGCAAAAGTTTTAACTTACCGTATAGTCTTGCTCATAGCTGACTTTGAAGAGCTGCGGTATGTTTTCTTCTTCCGCAAAGCTTAAATAACAAACAAAACATACATTTTGAAACGGTACACTACATGAAATACAGTCGGGCCAGGTGACGGACAAAGTGAAGGTTTCATCTTCTTGGTCCTTTCGGTAAAGTCACGTAGAATGGAAATACGTGACTTTACCGAAAGAACCAAGAAAATGAATCCCTGCAGTCACGAAAGCTTTAAATCGAAATTTAAAGTGAAGGTTGCCTTTTCATTGCAAGCACCTTTGCTTTGTGACCATTGTGCTGACCTCCTCTGCCCTTCTTTGAAACTCTGGCCGTCGCCTGATAGGCCGCTTCCATTTTGCTGTGCATTGATGCATCTCTGCAGCGAGGAAAAAAAAACCGGAATCGCATTCTCTCATGTCCACGCAACCGTGCTGGCTGGCAATGGACGCCAGACCTCACACAAAAGTAAGCCCCAAAGCAGGCCTGTTATTTTGTCACGAATGAATAAGGGTTAGGTAAGCCCACCACCACCCTCCACGTGGCATTTGTCACGGGCCTCCAGGACCCTTCTGGGTGGCCCAGAAAGGTTGGCCTCGTGTTGCCGTGGGGCTGTTTCCAAGGTAGGTCTCGTGGCAACAACCCTATACAATATTTATCCATCTCTGCAAGCATCATAACCGCACTAATCGGCTGCTAGAAGGGAATATGTTCGACCTCTCAATGGTGTGTTTCTAATTTTGGCACGATCACTGCTGTCACTGCAAGGGCTCCCTTCATACTTGGTCGATATGCGCGTTTTTGACGTAATTGGAAAACGCCAATGTGGGCATTAAATAAGTGTGGGCTTGGGCAGGACTCGTCACTCAAACGAATGACAGCCGGTGGACGAGACTAATGACGGAGTGTTTAGCCAAAGGCAAGAACATGTAAGAGTGGGTGCTTACTTTGTAGATGGGTTTATTAAATCGGCTCGTGTGCAGGCGCTCTATGAACTGTTGCATCGCAGGAGCATGAGAAAGGTCGAGGGCCTTGAGGCAGGCCTTCACTCAGCAGCGGGTAGATAATCGCTGATGATGAACTTAATCCCATCAGCAGAGTTTGAGTAAAGTCAAGGGAGAGGCCATAGTTGATTTGAAGTTACCACTGACCTGTCAAGTCCAGCAAGCTGTCTTTGTATTTAATTGTGGCACGAGGCTTGTGGGAATAAACCTCTTCAATCTCGGCACTTGTCAGCTCGGTGGTGATTCCCCAGGAATTCTGAAGAATAATAACAGTAACATAAATCAGGGATGGGGAACGTCTGGCCCGCGGGCTGTATGAGGCCCCGCGAAATAATTTGGCCTCTGGCCCTGCCAAGGCAACTGCAGGCGGGACTCGAAATTCAATAAATCTAGGAACAAACCTGGAAAAGCAGTTGCCAGTAGCAACATCGTCAATACCAGCTAACATCACCACACGCCTCATTAAAAAGAATCAGTTCCAGCCATCACATTAGGGGTGAGTTAATTAAATGTTTGACCAAACATAACAGGCTAATTTTTAAGTTGATAATTTTGTATGGCCCGCGAATGATGTTATAAATATCCAAATGGCCCTTGGCAGAAAAAAAGGTTCCCCACCCCTGACAGAAATGAACGCAATTTTCTACATGTGCCTCTTTTTTGTGCTTTTGTGGAAATGGATCACATTTGCTTTGTGAATACGGATGTGCTTGGAATGTTGTTCATATTTCGGTCTATTTTTATTCACTTTCATAATTCAATTAAAGGTCTCTAAAAAAAACACGTACGATGACATTATCCAAAACAGAATGAGATCGCTTTGACGTGTTTAAAACCACTATACTTTTCCAAAGGTGAATTAGTTGTCAGAAAGTACTGGACAAATGCTCGTAGCTGTGTTGCGTGCATTGATTGCGCGGGCCATGAACAATCATGGCACAGCACTTCGTTACTCCAAGATCACTCAAAGAGTTCACGTTTAAATGAACAACAATCATTCCGCACCTTTTCTCCAAATTTGACCCATTCTTCATAACTGTCCTTGGAGTACCAGACCCAGCGGTCCACTGACGGTACTGACAGGCGACGGACGGACCCGGTCTGTGGACCGTAGCACTTCATGGTGTCAAAGTCCAGGTACCCGATGAGCGAATCACTACAGGAGCAGGCATAACAGTTATGGCAGGTCAGACAAGTAGCGTTGGGTGACATCGGCCCTGGTGCGAGGAATGCAATAGGCCAGTGTTCTTCACAAATTTCCAAAGGGGGGGGGGGGGAGCACTTTCGCCGATAAGACATAATCAGTGAGAGGGCTGCCACACATTTCAAACCATTGGGGTTTGACAGCAGCACGTTGATGATGATGATGATGGGGGGTGTTTTCACATTTGTGTATTGTCGGGGTCTGAACGTCAGGGGCTGCACTATAAAGACTAGCAGGGGCCTCCAGTGACCCATGGGCCTTGCAATGAGCTGCAATTGGGTGCCCCTCTCAAATTTCTCCCCTTTTTCATAAGCCTCAGCTCACCTGCAGCTGCAACGTCTACAAACTCGATAGCTAGGCCGCTGCGCGCTTCAATTGCAATGACCAATTCACCGTTACACACGCTAAGTAAGAATGAGTGCATGTACAGCCGGAGCGTTGGCGGCGTGGCTATCGCACTGTCGATGTACCCCTTCACCGACTGAGTTAAATTGATAACCTTGACCAACAACGGGTGGCGAGTGACATCTGAGCCGTGCTAGACTCGCCCCGCCAACATGCACTGGACCAGCGTGGTGAAGCATGATCAAACGACAACATGCACGACTGACACAGCTTTGCGGAGGAATTCATCCTGCAGTGCATTGACAAAAGCTTCAACTTATTTTTTGTCATGTCTTGAGCATGCCAATAGGTAGCAAAATGTGAATCTAAAGACATTAAAATTAAATAAGCGTCACATTGTCTATGTTAACATAATATCCCTGGTTATTTTTGTTATTTTCTTTAAACCTGTCTACGTGACTTTACCGAAAGACCCAAGAATATGAATATCAAACTCTTTGGTTCTGTTCGGTAAAGTCACGTAGGTAAAAACTAAAATAACAAAAATCACGACGTTTCGGCCACAACACAAGTGGCCTTCATCAGGTGAAGGGACCGTGCTGTCATGAGGACAGCGTTGGAGTGAAAACAGCCAAGTCCAGGTCGCGTCCTTTAAGCTGCGTGGGAGGAAACAAAACGCTTTGACAAAGGGATTCGCATAAAAATGAGCACGATGTACGTAGAAGGTGCATGATGGACCATGATGGACCAGGCGCGGGTGGGGACCATGACGGACCGTCATGGTCCCCACCCGCTGCTAGTCCATCATGCACCTCCTACGTACATCGTGCTCATTTGTATGCGAATCCTTTTGTCAAAGCGTTTTGTTTCCTCCCACGTAGCTTAAAGGACGCGACTTGGGCTTGGCTGTTTTCACTCCAACGCTGTCCTCATGACAGCACGGTCCCTTCACCTGATGAAGGCCACTTGTGTTGTGGCCGAAACGTCGTGATTTTTGTTATTTTCTTTTTTACCTACGTGACTTTACCGAATTGAACCAAAGAGTATGGATCCTTGCAGTCACGAAAGCTTCAAATCTAGAATATGGATATCCCTGGTCTTTAACCAAATCAAAGAAAACCCGAAATTCAACCAATCGCTTGCATGAAAACAAGCCTTATCTCCCCCCCCCCCCCCCCCCCCACAAGCACAACACCAGGTCAGAGTTGAGCCTTACATCAATGTCAACCCTTACCTTAAGTTTTAACCCTCACATTAACCTCCCCCTTGGGCTACACAACCACATCTTTATCTTAACAACTAATGCTCAAAAATACCCTGTCACTCAATTTTGAACCGACAGTAGCATCTTAACCATACATTCTAACTCTAACCATAATCTTAACTCGAACACAACTTGGATTACATCTGTTTGGGTACCTTTCTGTTGACGTGAGCCTATAGCTGTGATTTTGTGGCCTACTGAAGGCTCGCTCAATTGCTTCATTCCGCCTGAGATTTTCCCACTGCCCGTCCTTAAGAATTTGCCACAGGTAAGGCAATTCTGAGTGGTAGTCAGAGCAACCTGCAACAGGAGAGTACAAGTTGGTTAGACAACCTTGTTGCTAAACAACTGAGACCACGTTGGAATATGGCCAGTGACATGGCCGAGGGGTAGCACTTTGGTGCTGAGGTATGTGGTTCGAGACCTGTGGCCACCCTCCTTAATGCCTCACAGTGGACATTAACGATCCCGTTTATATTGTCTGCAAAAGAGTAGGTCTTGCGCGCCAGAATTATGGTCCACGTTTGCAGGTCGGTGCTGCATACACTTTATGCTGCGTAGGGATAGTTGCCACTGGGGGATTGGTTGAGAGGCTAGATTGGTTGAGATGTGATGGAATGGTCGAGGTGAGTTGTAATGTAAGGTGTTTTGAGTTTTTTAGGCATTTAAGCACCCTGTGAATGGTATATCCTTATCATTCATATTGTATTGATGTGGTTTAACTCATAATAATAATGATTTACTTATTTATTCAGGAAAGTCACACCTGAGTCGTAGGATGTTTTCAGCCAATGAATGATAAGATGTATTATACTACAAGTGGGAGGACACTGGAGCACCTGGAAAAAACCCACACGGGCGAGGGGGCAACCCCTTTATCCCTGTACAGATGAAAACAGATGGCGATTGGTTCGCTTGATGCACTGCCTTCTCATGGCGAGCCAGGGGTACGGCTCCTCGTCGTTGCCCACGTGAAGGGAGTTTCACAACATTAGTGCGGTAATCCACCAACCCTCGCCGCTGCCTCCACGGCACTGGATTACGGGCAGCCACGTGCGCTACGTAGCCACCACCGCATAACGGGAGCTTACCAGCGTTTTTTGTGCATTTTTTCTGAGTTAAGTACTGAAGACAGAGGCCGGTGTGGGTCACACTTGAACTCTCTTCCTCTGAATCGTGACACGTGTATACCTACACAAAACACAAAAAACACACAATTTGATCCTTATCGCGGTACCCAGGGGTACCAAATAATACAAAATGGGCCGAGGCAATTAAATACTTAATTTCTGGGACGCAATTTTTTCCAGGGGTGTTACTTCACTCCGCGACTGGGGTAACCAATCAATCCGAAATCGGTGCCACACTCCGCGATGTCGAAACGCAGCGAGGACGATTGCGCCGAAACCCTGAACGCTCGCACGCACCGTGGTGGTGGCGCATCGTGAGTACAGATCATCGTGTACAGCTCGTCGTGTACAGCTCGTCGAGATGAGTCGATTGCCGCATCGCCCAACCATCAACAGACTAAAAATGACTGCATCACGGACATTATGCGAGAGCCGGGGTACTATGGGACCCCGGGGTTACCGCCATAAGGTTCTATTCAATAAATCAATCGTCCGTGGAAGTTACATAGAGTACTGTATTTGGCTGCAGGACTGTGATAAATTACGGCGGCTTTTGGAGGCCTTCATCCAGCAGTGGATCGATTATAGTTGATGATGATAATCAGTGCAGGTAGGTCTTGCAGGTGAATGTCCTAAACACCTATGTATTGATTTATTGCGTACAGTATATTATCTTTGGTGGTGAAACGGTAAAACTTTACTTGGAGTCCCACGAGTAAAATGAAACAAGGCGAATGACTGTAGTCAAAGTGTGTGATTGTCTTTATTTTATTTGAATACATTTGAATCTTACCGAGCCTGTGTCCTCTGATGACGTCAAGCCTTCGCAATGGAACGGCAGTTTTAGGGTCATTTTGGCCTCTTCTTCTTGCATCTCTGGTGGCACTTGTCTTCGGCAAATGTCATATAACCTTAAGCCTTTGACGACAAAAATACTTCGCGATATTTTTATGTTGCTACGAGAGCAAAGAGCAATTGTGACATCAATAATCATTCATTGGACTACATTTTGTATATATAGGCAGCAATTTAAGGTCGTTTTGTGTATATAGGAATGGCAGCCAAAGGATGGATCAAACCCAATGAGGCCACTGAGGATATGCAATGGTGCTGACGATGTGGGGAAGCCTTCCTCCAGCAGTGAATAGATCATGGCTGATGGTGATAATTAGCTATAGGTCGGTCTTGATGGCAATCTGCTTTCACGGCTGTCCAGAGTTTACATTGCAATTGTGGTACAATTCGGGTTTACATGGCAAAATCTGAGCGCATCATCTAAAGCTGATCATAGGCCACATTTGTTTTTCTGAATTCGTTCAATCAAAAAAGAAAGACCTCCTCACCTCTCAAATTCATTGATTTCACGAGAGGAAAAACTGAACCGAGTTACATAGCCATATGACCCCCATAATGGATACATATTAATTCTAGATTTGAAGCTTTCGTGACTGCAAGGATCCATACTCGTTGGTTCTATTCGGTAAAGTCACGTAGGTAAAAAATAAAACAACAAAAATCACGACGTTTCGGCCACAACACAAGCGGCCTTTTTCATATGGTGAAGGGACCAGACTGTCTCGAAGACAAACAGGCTCGTAAACAAACATGATTTGGTAGTGTCAGTTCACCAAGTATTGATGATACAGTGAATTATATTTTGTTTTAAAAAGCAACGTTTTTCAATTGCCTTCCTAGAGAAAGGTGAAATATTAATATTTATTTTACCGACATAGAGATAACATGCGAGCACTTGTACAACAGCTGGATGAAATCCATAACAGAGGGTTTTTTTTGGGTTAGATCGTGTAAACATATAAATGTGTCGTTAAACCCGCCACCACCCGACACAGCCAACTAGTAAGGGCTGTCATGTAAACAAAAACATGCCAATTCGTCACTAGTACAGCACTAGTGTGTAGTGTATAGTAGTGTAGTGTATAGTAGTGTAGTGTATTGTGTAGTGTATAGTATGGTGTACTAGTACAGCACACTGGTGTGTTGGAGAGCCAAGCCACAACATTTACAATTAGGACGACGTTTCGCCAGTAATTACAACTAGCCTCATCAGGCGACAGCCAAATCTGGCAATCTGAGTACAAACGCCGTACTAAAATTGTAAATGTTGTGGCTTGGCTCTCCAACACACCGGTGTGCTGTACTAGTGACGAATTGGCCACGTTCTGTTTACGTGACAACCCTTACTAGTTGGCTGTGTCGGGTGGTGGCGGGTTTAACGACACATTTATATTTACGCGATCTAACCCAAAAAAACCCTATTATGGATGATGTTGGTCACGAAAGCCTACTACGTGTTAAGCTGGATGAAATATAAAATTTTGCCACTATTCTCATTTGCTGATGTCAAAGTCTCTTACCTTGAGCAAAATCTTGTTCGTCAACTCCAACCAGAGCATTCAACGGGCTTGTCCGTCAGTGAAGACTTAATCATTCCACATGATCCCGCCGACCCTTTCAAACGCCCTCTCAAAAAAGACTTGCAAGCACCTCACGACAATGTGTTTTTGTCAGGGCATTTTTGACGTTCCTCCGTTGACGCACCCGAAAACACAAACACGTGCGTGCTCGGAAACAGCTCTGACGTACACGCTGGTGTGCGTCATCGATATTTACCTTTCGAGAGAGCTACGTGTTCATGGCTCGCCTCAAGCATTTTGTGTAAAATGAGGTGAAATGAGTTGATGACGACACCTGATGGCGATGAACACTCTTAATTCCCACCAGCATTGGTAGTAATCCATAAAACAAAAAATGTTAATTTTGGTCAAAGTCTTTTATTTTGGTCAAAGCATGAAATGATACTCTCCTAGTCTCTTGAAGTCTCACCTGGTTGAACAAAAATGACCTTTAACCCGTTAATTTCGTGTTATTGTTTGTGGGTTGCGTTCTAGAGTTATCTCAGGGTGAGGACGTGAGCTGACGGCCTCGGACCGGTTCAGACAATCGTCACTGGTGTTGGTGGCTCTGACGGGGAATGAGTAGCGGAGAGGACCAAACACTACACTACCGCCCCCCCCCCCCCAACACTCTTCCACCTCCAACACACAATCGTTGTCCGAGGAGCCAGCGTGAATTGTTGCATGCCGCGGCTTGCGTGAGAGATCGTGACCGTTTTTTGGGGGGGCGGAGAAATCCTTCGTCCGGCGGTGAATGCATCGCCACTCGTGATGAATTGCGTTGCGGAATCACCTCTCCTATGCGTTGCACTGTGGTGCTGAGCAGCAACGCCATGGACCTCAAGCTCAGCGTGGCTTTCGTGGGCCCTGACCGAGGAGCGGTATCGGGAAAGTCGACAGCATACGCGCCCCGCGCACAACTCCTCCAGCTCCCATGCTCTTCCTTCAGCGCGTGCAACAAGAGGACGCCGAGGTTCATTTGCTCGAGATTTAAGGGCAACAGCTGGTCGGAGATGATGCGCGTGCATCTCACGGTGGTAATACGCGAGTCCCTGATTAGTGAATTGGAGATTACAAATGCATATACATGTATGTATGTATGTTGAGCTTCTTTCGCACCGTACATAGCGAAGGAGGGCGACTGCTTCATGTACTGGGGCAGTGAAGTCTATGTGCAGTTTTGAGTCTATGGGCAGTGTTAAGTCTACGGGTAGTGTTAGTTTATGGGCAGTGTTCAGTCTACGGGCAGTGTTGAGTCTATGGGCAGTGTTGAGTCTATGGTTAGTGTTGAGTATATGGGCAGTGTTAAGTCTATGGTTAGTGTTGAGTCTATGGGTAGTGTTAGTCTATGGGCAGTTTCAATTTAAAGCTTTCGTGACTGCAAGGATTAATCTTCTTTGTTTCTTTCGGTAAAGTCACGTAGAATGAGAATAAAATAATAAATTGATAAAATAAAATAACACAATAAAATTCCCACGACGTTTCAGCCACAACCCAAGCGGCCTGTATCAGGTGAAGGGACGAGACTGTCTGGAGGACAGTGCTGGAGCGAACAAAGCCACGCTCAGATCGCGACCTTTAAGCTGTGTGAGAAAAAACAAAGCGCCTTGACAAAGGAATTAGCATATAATTTAGCATTGAAATAGCTGAGTGATTAGCTTGTGACTGGTCACAGAAATGGCTATGTTAAAGTTAAAGCATACACATCCACAGTGTTGAGTCTGCGGGCAGTGTTGAGTCTATGGGTAGTGTTGAGTCTGCGGGTAGTGTTAGTCTATGGGCAGTGTTGAGTCTATGGGTAGTGTTGAGTCTGTGGGCAGTGTTGAGTCTATGGTGCAGTGTTTAGTCTATGAGCAGTGTTGAGTCTACGGGCAGTGTTGAGTCTATGGGTAGTGTTGAGTCTACGGGTAGTGTTGAGTCTACGGGCAGTGTTGAGTCTACGGGCAGTGTTGAGTCTACGGGCAGTGTTGAGCCTACGGGCAGTGTTGAGCCTACGGGCAGTGTTGAGTCTTCGGGCAGTGTTGAGTCTTCGGGCAGTGTTGAGTCTATGGTGCAGTGTCGAGTCTACGGGTAGTATTGAGTCTATGGGCAGTGTTGAGTCTATGGTGCAGTGTTGAGTCTATGGGCAGTGTTGAGTCTACGGGGAGTGTTGAGCCTACGGGCAGTGTTGAGTCTTCGAGCAGTGTTGAGTCTATGGGCAGTGTTGAGTCTATGTTCAGTGTTTAGTCTATGGGTAGTGTTAGTCTATGGGCAGTGTTGAGTCTGCGGGCAGTGTTGAGTCTATGGGCAGTGTTGAGTCTATGGGTAGTGTTGAGTCTATGGGTAGTGTTGAGTCTATGGGCAGTGTTGAGTCTTTGGGCAGTGTTGAGTCTACGGGTAGTGTTGAGTCTGCGGGTAGTGTTGAGTCTATGGTGCAGTGTTGAGTCTATGGTGCAGTGTTGAGTCTATGGGCAGTTAAATTTCTATGGGCAGTGTTGAGTCTACGGGCAGTGTTGAGTCTTCGAGCAGTGTTGAGTCTATGGGCAGTTAAATTTCTATGGGCAGTGTTGAGTCTACGGGCAGTGTTGAGTCTATGGTGCAGTGTTGAGTCTACGGGGAGTGTTGAGTCTATGGGCAGTGTTGAGTCTACGGGTAGTGTTGAGTCTATGGGCAGTGTTGAGTCTATGGGCAGTGTTGAGTCTACGGGCGGTGTTGAGTCTACAGGCTGTGTTGAGTCTACAGGCAGTGTTGTGTCTACGGGCAGTGTTGTGTCGATGGTCAGTGTTGAGTCTACGGGCAGTGTTGAGTCTTCGGGCAGTGTTGAGTCTGCGGGCAGTGTTGAGTCTATGGGCAGTGTTGAGTCTATGGGTAGTGTTGAGTCTATGGGTAGTGTTGAGTCTATGGGCAGTGTTGAGTCTATGGGCAGTGTTGAGTCTATGGGTAGTGTTGAGTCTATGGGTAGTGTTGAGTCTATGGGCAGTGTTGAGTCTTTGGGCAGTGTTGAGTCTACGGGTAGTGTTGAGTCTGCGGGTAGTGTTGAGTCTATGGTGCAGTGTTGAGTCTATGGTGCAGTGTTGAGTCTATGGGCAGTTAAATTTCTATGGGCAGTGTTGAGTCTACGGGCAGTGTTGAGTCTATGGTGCAGTGTTGAGTCTACGGGGAGTGTTGAGTCTATGGGCAGTGTTGAGTCTACGGGTAGTGTTGAGTCTATGGGCAGTGTTGAGTCTATGGGCAGTGTTGAGTCTACGGGCGGTGTTGAGTCTACAGGCTGTGTTGAGTCTACAGGCAGTGTTGTGTCTACGGGCAGTGTTGTGTCGATGGTCAGTGTTGAGTCTACGGGCAGTGTTGAGTCTTCGGGCAGTGTTGAGTCTTCGGGCAGTGTTGAGTCTATGGGCAGTGTTGAGTCTGCGGGCAGTGTTGAGTCTATGGTGCAGTGTTGAGTCTATGGGTAGTGTTCGTCTATGGGCAGTGTTGAGTCTATGGTGCAGTGTTGAGTCTACGGGTAGTGTTGAGTCTATGGGCAGTGTTGAGTCTATGGTGCAGTGTTGAGTCTATGGGCAGTGTTGAGTCTACGGGCAGTGTTGAGTCTTCGGGCAGTGTTGAGTCTATGGGCAGTGTTGAGTTTATGGGTAGTGTTAGTCTATGGGCAGTGTTGAGTCTATGGGCAGTGTTGAGTCTATGTTCAGTGTTGAGTCTATGGGTAGTGTAGTCTATGGGCAGTGTTGAGTCTGCGGGCAGTGTTGAGTCTACGGGTAGTGTTAGTCTATGGGCAGTATTGAGTCTATGGGTGGTGTTGAGTCTGCGGGTAGTGTTAGTCTACGGACAGTGCTGAGTCTATGGGCCGTGTTGACTCTACGGGCAGTGTTGAGCCTACGGGCAGTGTTGAGTCTATGTTCAGTGTTGAGTCTATGGGTAGTGTTGAGTCTGCGGGCAGTGTTGAGTCTACGGGTAGTGTTGAGTCTGCGGGTAGTGTTAGTCTATGGGTAGTGTTGAGTCTAAGGGCAGTGTTGAGTCTTCGGGCAGTGTTGAGTCTACGGGCAGTGTTGAGTCTACGGGTAGTGCTGTGTCTATGGTCAGTGTTAAGTCTGCGGGTAGTGTTAGTCTATGGGCAGTGTTGAGTCTGCGGGCAGTGTTGAGTCTATGGTGCAGTGTTGAGTCTATGGGCAGTGTTGAGTCTATGGGCAGTGTTGAGTCTACGGGCAGTGTTGAGTCGATGGGCAGTGTTGCGTCTACGGGTAGTGTTGAGTCTATGGCAGGGGTGGGCAAATTTTTTGACTCGCGGGCAACAATGGGTTCCAAAATTTGACAGAGAGGATGGGCCAGGAACAGATGGATGGAGTGTTTGTGTGAACTAATATAAATGACATGTAAAAATCATTACATGAAAGGATTTGGCCTTTAACATGTAGCAAAGCATTTATTTGCAAGGCAATTGAACAAATTGCACGAACATGAACAATACAAAAACATGTCGTAACTCCCGGTCAAAGTGCGCCATCTAATAGGGAAATGGATTGCATTACAGGAGAAGGGGAAAATTTTATTTAAAAATAATAATATTTCGACCAGTTCGGCGGGCCGGATTAAAAAGCCCAACGGGCCGTACTTTTCCCATGTCTGGTCTATGGGCAGTGTTGAGTCTACGGGCAGTGTTGAGTCTACGGGCAGTGTTGAGTCTATGGGCAGTGTTGAGTCTACGGGCAGTGTTGAGTCTACGTGCAGTGTTGAGTCTACGTGCAGTGTTGAGTCTACGGGCAGTGTTGAGTCTACGGGCAGTGTTGAGCCTACGGGCAATTTTGAGTCTACGGGCAGTGTTGAGTCTATGGGCAGTGTTGAGTCTACGGGCAGTGTTCAGTCTTTGGGCAGTGTTGAGTCTACGGGCAGTGTTGAGTCTATGGGCAGTGTTGAGTCTACGGGCAGTGTTGAGTCTACGTGCAGAGTTGAGTCTACGGGCAGTGTTGAGTCTACGGGCAGTGTTGAGACTACGGGCAATTTTGAGTCTACGGGCAGTGTTGAGTCTATGGGCAGTGTTGAGTCTACGGGCAGTGTTGAGTCTTTGGGCAGTGTTGAGTCTATGGGCAGTGTTGAGTCAGCGGGCAGTGTTGAGTCGATGGTGCAGTGTTGAGTCTACGGGCAGTGTTGAGTCTATGGGCAGTGTTGAGTCTACGGGCAGTGTTGAGTCTTTGGGCAGTGTTGAGTCTATGGGCAGTGTTGAGTCAGCGGGCAGTGTTGAGTCGATGGTGCAGTGTTGAGTCTACGTGCAGTGTTGAGTCTACGGGCAGTGTTGAGTCTACGGGCAGTGTTGAGCCTACGGGCAATTTTGAGTCTATGGGCAGTGTTGAGTCAGCGGGCAGTGTTGAGTCGATGGTGCAGTGTTGAGTCTTTGGGCAGTGTTGAGTCTATGGGCAGTGTTGAGTCTGCGGGCAGTGTTGAGTCTACGGATAGTGTTGAGTCTATGGTGCAGTGTTGAGTCTATGGGCAGTGTTGAGTCTATGGGTAGTGTTGAGCCTACGCGTAGTGTTGAGTCTATGAGTAGTGTTTTGTCTACGGGCAGTGTTGAGTCTTCGGGCAGTGTTGAGTCTTCGGGCAGTGTTGAGTCTATGAGCAGTGTTGAGTCTATGGGCAGTGTTGAGTCTACGGGCAGTGTTGAGGCGATGGGGGCAGTGTTGAGTCTATGGGCAGTATATTCTTGGTTCTTTCGGTAAAGTCACGTAGACGGGAAACAATAAAATAATACAATTATAAAACAATAAAATTATCAAGACGTTTCGACTGCAACACAAGCAATAATCAGGTGTGAAAACCACAGCAAGAAAATTTGAAAAAGTGGCGGGTTTTTTAACGTTAGCACCACGGAGAGCGATTTGACAGTTTGTTCAGATGGACGAGTCAATCTATGTTCGGAAAAGAGGAGGGGGGAGACGAAAAATAATGGATGCGGTCTGAAAGCCACCTTAAGCGTGTGCAAGCCATCTGGCTACCATGACAGATTCGTTCATGAGGCCATCCACATATACATATACAAACACAGAGACAATTTCAACCGAGAAGATGGATTCCGGTTTAGCAATCATTGGAAGGATTTGATAAACCATTTCGGGTCTTGATTGATCACGCTTAAGGTGGCTTTCAGACCGCATCCATTATTTTTCGTCTCCCCCCTCCTCTTTTCCGAACATAGATGGACTCGTCCATCTGACCAAACTGTCAAATCGCTCTCTGTGGTGCTAACGTTAAAAATAAAATAATAAAACGCCACTTTTTTCAAATTTTCTTGCTGTGGTTTTCACACCTGATTGCTTGTGTTGCAGTCGAAACGTCGTGAGAATTTTATTGTTTTATATTTTTATTATTGTATTGTTTCCCTTCTATGTGACTTTACCGAAAGAACCAAGAATATGAATCCCTGCAGTCACGAAAGCTTTAAATGAAAATCTATGGGCAGTGTTGAGTCTGCGGGCAGTGTTGCTGGTTTCCGATGTAATTTGACGTAAAGCTTTTGTTATTATCAAGTGTTTTTGTGGATTTTTACCGATTACACCCCGTTATATATGGCCGATAAAAAGAACACATCGGCAAATGATGTTCAGACGATTTCTGTCCATGGGAAAATAGGGTACAATTTACGACAGGATTTCCATGAACGCAGTCCTACCTTCAGATAAGGACATTTAACAGCTGCTTGGGAAATCTGACAACACGCACACAACCATTCGTATAATGGATACAAATTGAGCCCTCTGAAATAATCTCCCTGATGGGTGGGAATGGACCCAGGAGACCCAACGTTGCAGCACTGAAATACAATGACACCATCATCCCTACAAAGCACATATTGGCATTACATCTATCCCACTCCCATCGATGCAATTTAAATTCTTTAATCGTGACCGCGAAAAGTTAAACCGCATCTCCGCTTCCCAAAATCAAACATTGAAAACACTTAATCTTTTTGCTTTTTTCCCCTCTCGCCCAAGGTAAGAATTTAGAATTGTCTCCCATCTCCTTTCTTTTCCAAAGTTCTTACTACGCTCAATTCCAGGAACGTGTTGTGCCTTGCAACTTTAAGTGATATTTGTCTCCAGCCACTGCGTGTTCTGGGTCTGTGCTCAGCAACCGTGATTCAAAAACTCCAACCCCACTTCTATCCACCTCTCTTCATTTCACAATTTTGATTTCGTTCTGCCCTCAACAGCCATCCTAAATCCACATGCTCTGCTGTGCTTGCTTATTTGTGTCCCTCTGAATATCACAAGCGATAAAAAGTTCCTTCACTGTGTGCATATTGATATTTAAGAATAACCTTTGCCATCTGAGTTTATATTTTGGGGAAACTTACTCTAAAACTGATATTAAATGTTTGTTTTAATGTATCTGATATTATCTTTTTTTTGTTACTAAAAACTTCAAATGCCACTGCCATCCACAAAAAACGAGCAACGCAAAAAGCATGACGTACGGTTGTACTTGTTAATTTAATAATAATGTCAAGTTGTAACGCAATGCCGCGTGTCCGCTCTCTTGTAGAGAGAGCGGACGACCCAGGAGCGCGAGGAGCCACAGACAAGCGGGTGGAGGCAGCCACACCGCGGGCCGCCACAGACTCCTCCCCAAGCTCTGCGCTCCTCTGTGTATTAAGGTATTATTGGGCAATAATGAGTGTTTACATGTGAGAGGAAAACGGAGCACCCGGAGAAATACTACGTGTACAAGGGGGGGGGGGGGGGGAGGAGGACACACTCCATCTCATACAGACAGAACAGGTGGAGTCCACATTGTTGCTGGTACTGACTTCTCCCGGACAAGCCAGGGTGTGTGGCACCTCTCCTCGATGCCTACGGGAAGAGTTCCGCAGCATTTCACCAACCCTCGTCGCCTCCACAGCGCTGGAGGACTCGAGGCCATGTGTATACCCATGACCGATCGGCTAGCGGTTGTTTGTATGTATGTACACTGATGTCGGAAAAGGATGTCATTTAGCAGGCCCGGTTTTGCATGTACTAACTGCAGCGGCAGCGACGTTCCGACGGCTAGCGGCCACCTCGTCTACCCCCCTTCTTCTTGCCGCCCTCCTTGCGGAGCTTGGCGCGCGTGTCCTTCTTCAGGCGCGCGTCCACCACCTTGTAGTGGCCCTTGACGCCGGCGGGGCGGCCGACCTTGCGGCCGGAGGACCGCTTAGCCACGACGTACGTCACGTCCTTGTCCTGCTTCTTCACGCCGGCCTTCTTGTAGATGCTGCGGAGGCAAGGGAACGACTTTAAAATCTCAATCAAGACTGGTGCAACGTCTCTGAATAAGTCACGATGAAAATAATTTTACCCAAGACTGCCCGATTTGAAATATCATGTCATTCATTTACGCAGTAAAGCTTCACCGAGTCTCGGTGGCGAGATGTTAACTACCTCGCCTGGTATGCAGGAGGTTGTGGGTTCGATCCCGACCCTGATACCTGCTGTATATGACTTTCTCTCTCCTGTGGTCGTGTGGATTTTTCTCCAGGTTCGGTTTTTCCCTCCACATTTATGCTATAAATTTCAACATTATAAGCCACATCATTTGTGGCCAGATCGCTTCTAAAAAAGGACTATATAGCTCAGTGGGCATTACCTGGTAAAATAAAAATTGTAAAAAATAGTTTAGTTATTTCTTTCATCAGGGTCGCCCCAGCCGTGCCCCAACGAGGCTGTACCTGCGAAGCTGCGCCATCTTCTCCCTTTCTGAGATGTCCACCGTGTCCACCACCGCCTCCGCCTTCTTCTGCGCCTTCTCCACCTTCTTCAGCATCTGCAAAGTCGAGAGAGAGGGGCATCCTCATCGTGACGGTCACGTGACGGTGGCGGCGGCAGTCACGGCAATGGGTAAGCGATGGTGAAAAATGACATGATGCGGACATGACGGTGACACGAACATGATAGGGAGGCGACGGCTGTAATGACAATGACAGCGACATTGACGTGTTGGCGAAGGGTGATCCCGAAGCAAGCGACGGTTATGACGAGATGGTGGTGGTGGTGGCGACGCGATGGCAAATGGTAACGTAACGCCGCGTGTGCGCACCCTCTTCTTCTTGCGAGCCTTGGCCTCGGCGATCTTCCTGATGGGCCGCGCGTTGATCTCCTGCCAGCGCTTGCGGTACTCGGCCACCGTTGCCTTGTCCACGGGGAGCATCTTCCGTCGGTGCTTGCGCTCGTCGTCGGTGAACCAGTCTGGCAGTTCCCCCTCGTCGTTAAACGCGAACCTGACGTGCACGTACGGGGGACAAGACTCGCGTCGTGAGAGTGAATCCGGTCGAGGTGTGCCTGTCAAACTGGGACGATATACGTTCTGCTGTAGAAGGGGACCGTGCAATGGCATCACTCGTCAACTTTTAACCCGTCACCGGGTAAAGCCTCGCTTATCAACCGTTGCCAGGTAGGCCTCGCCTGTTGGCCGTCACCAGGTAAAATCTCGCGACGTGAGCCTTGCTTGTTAGCCGTCACCAGGTAAAATCTCGCGACGTGAGCCTCGCTTGTTAGCCGTCACCAGGTAAAATCTCGCGACGTGGGCCTCGCTTATCAACCGTTGCCAGGTAGGCCTCGCTTGTTAGACGTCACCAGGTAAAATCTCGCGACGTGGGCCTTGCTTGTTTGCCATCACCAGGTAAAATATCGCTGGGCAACCGTCGCCAGGTAGGCCTCACCTGTCAAAGGAGCCGTCCACTAGGTCGCGGGTCCTCTTGCGGGAGGTGGCGATGAGGCTGCCGATCGCCAGGCCCTCGGCGTCCAGCACTCGCTCGATTTTCGCTGAAGCAAGACACAGACAGGCTCTCGATTAATATTTTCAAAATGCCTCATTTCATTTCTTGACATGGCACTTCAGCAGGTGTTATCCACAAACTGTTGTGGTGGTTTCTGGGCTTGCGTTGGTCCGCCAGCATACGCGTTCCATCTTTTTCTCGTCCCAAGATCCTTTTTTTTTGGCCGAGAATCTTGAGACCCCCGTCAGAGTGTTGGTGGTGGAGTCACGACCCCAGTACGAGTAACGCTGCTCTGAACCATGAGCAAATTGTGATGAGAGCTGCTGGACCAGGGAAGAAATCGGGAGGTGTCACTCCAGATCCATGTTTCTCAAAACTCCAGTCCTTGCGACGCCACCGCAATCCAGCCTGCCGTCAATACCAATCATCAGGTGCGTGTAACGTGTAGTGGCTCGATTTGCATATCTATGGGAGAGCTTGGCATACTGGGTAGATAAATTATTTGTTGATTGCTGCACTGGCAGTGGTGCACAAGCATAATAAAAAAAGTAATCCTATTTATGTGCAATGAAGGGCCTTTGCCCGAAACATCACCTGTTACATATTTTCCTTTCAAAGCAACGGTGTTATTGACGATCGTGTGGCGTTTTTTGCGAATGAAACCCGTGAAGGCTCACCGTGGCGTGGCATGGACCGGAGTTTGAGAAACACCGCTCGGGAGCGAGGACGACGCCGTTGTGCCGCAGATAGCGGACCGCGTCAAACGGACTCACCTGGCTCCTCGATCGGGACCGTCTCGAAGTGATCGTCGTCGTCGAGGTCAAGGTCCGGAGCGGCCGCGTAGCGGCCTCGCCGTCCGGTCTTGATGGAGGCAGAGAGCTCCTTGAGGCGCGCGATCTGAGCAGCGTCGTCATCATCGCTGTTCGCACACACAGACGCAGCGACGCACAGGTGAGCAGCGGCCCATCACGTCAGCGGACGCACGCCACACTCGCGCGCTTATTTACTCGCTCACCTGGGCGGAAATCGAGCTACACAATAACCAAGCGTACCGCCAATCTACTAAGCAATTAAACAGGACAAGAACAAATATACAGGTAGTCCTCTACTTACGATGGAGATTCGTTACGACGACCCCATCGTAAGTCGAAAATATCGTAAGTCGAAGGTGGCCTAGCCTACCCAGGAGTCTTAAAGAATGGTGATAATTTAGCATAAGAGCAATTTACAGTACCGTACTGTAGAAATTATATACTGTATGTATTTATTAATTACAATACTGTATTGCACAGTAAAATTTAAAGTAAAAAACAAGGTAAATTCTTAGCCTACCTATATGAACTGCAATTGAATAGAAAGTTTTTTCAGGAAACAATCATATCTGCTATAAAAACCTTTAACATGCATTGAACGTATGTATCGTATCGTGGTAACCCTAAAATGAAATCGATAAAGCTACGTATCATACATGCATTGAACGTATCCGTAACGCATCATATTCTACTGTACTCACCAAGATTCTGTCCGTCGTCTGCATACTTGAACGATCTTAGGTTGTTGATGGCAATTTGGTCGTATCGATATCGCCATCGTAAGATCGAAATATCGTAAGTCGGATCATCGTAACTCGGGGACTACCTGTACATCAGTCAACTAACCATTCAGACGCGAACCACAGTGGGAGGGGTGCCGCAAGTTATAGGATTCCCGAGTTATTGGAGAATGGATTTTATGGGTTTTGCTTACCATCGCCGCTGGTCCTATCGACTCTCTCAGAAGCACACACATTGCGTGGCGGGTGAGGTAAGATGCTCACCTATCATCGCTGTCCGAGCCGAACTCCTCCTTGGGCTGCGAGGGTTGGGCGTCGCCCCCCACGTCGTCCTGTCCACTCCCCTGTTTCGTGGTTGATTGCTCGTGCTCGTTCGCGGCTGAGAGGAAACGCGGATTAAAAACACACTAGGGCGTCCTATTTGTCTGCATTACAAAGTCAACATAGATCCCCCGTGTAGCGTTAAGTCTATTTGGGCATGTGCTGTTAACGAGCACCTATAAAGGCTGACAGTACACGAGGGGTGGTGGGTGGCCAGCACCACGCCCGACCGCCTTTTTGTGTCCCCAGCGGCGATGTTTTTAGACACCGCACCAGGTACTCATTTGAGGCCGAGTCAACCTAGGGAAGGCCCAGGACCAGTTCAGATATTTGTCACTGGTGTTGGCCGTGAGCGGGAATCGAACTTGGGTCGCCGGTTTTGTAGCGCATTGCGCTAACCGCGATACTACCGCTCCCCATTACAAAGGTAGTAGGAGACGCGTCGAGGTAAGGGGGCCTTGCCCGCCATCTGTTAGCGCCAGACGGATGGCAAGACCCACACTGGTGGGAGTGTCTTGTTGTTGTTATTTACATGGTAACTGACTGTATTGTTTTTTTTTGTGTGGCGACTACGTCTTGTTGTTGCGTGCGTGGTGACTGATCATCTTGTTGCTGATGTTGTTTAGGTGGTGACTAAATGTCATGTACGTGGTGACAGGTGTCTAGTCGTTGCTGTGCGTGTCCCAGAGAGGCTGCACCTGCACGGGCCATCTTCTTGAACATCCTCTGCGCATGTTTCAGCTCCATCTGCTCGTCCACCTCCGTCTCCAGGCCAGCAAAGATGTCCTGTACAAACCGACACCAACGGTCATTACCAGCAGCTATAGCTTCCCTCCACATGGTACGGGATTCGTGCGTCAGGAGCTGAATGATGGGATTCATTGGCTGAGTGGATAAGGGCTCAGGGTTGCGAGGCGAGTGGCTCGCAGGGTTGTGGGCCGTGCCGAAGGGCGACTCGCCTTGCCGAACCACAGGTTGGTCTCGCGCTGGGCCCTGCTCTCGCTGTCCTCGTAATCCACCACCAGGGCATTGGGCTGCTCCTCCGACGGCTCCGGCGTCACTTCCCTCCTGCCGGACGGCATGCTCGGTCAGGCGGCACGAGGTGGACACGGCACGCGTGTGCGTTAGTCGGTGTGTGGATGCACTTGTGCGGCGTGCGAGCCTAGATTCCGTGGGACGGCCACGTCTAATCGACGTGAGTTGGCATGAGTTACCATGACTTCTACAGATTTCAAGTCAAAGAAGAACTTTCCGTGGTTTTCCGAAAAGTGGCGTTTCCTTGATTTTTGAACGTTACCTGAGCCATGATGCAAAAAAAAAATCTCGTTCGCAAAAGATCAAGACAGCATTGACGGTAAAATTCAACACTCAAGTTAAATTTACATGTTATCACCACCTGTAACAATTTTTGTTCCGGCAACGAATTCCCACTTGGCTGGAACTCTGACGCAGGGTATCGAGGTCTGCTCACATCGAGTGAGACGACTGACAAGAGTTCGGACCGCAGTCGTGACCAACCAAGTTGAGAAGAAAAAATAGCCAAACACGCGCGATCTCAATGCTCACCAGCGAACGGCAGCTCCAACTCAACACTTGAGTCGCGTTCCTCTTGGAAGCGTAGCGTGAAACACCCCCCGACATCAGTTTACAGGTTTTCTTGCCGTCGTTTTCTCCGTTACAAATCACACACCCCCCCCCCAACCCTTACCCACCACCCCCCCCCCCCGGCCTGCATTGCAGATGGTGCTGCCAAGACGGGACCGCCGTACCTTTTGCCGCCCCGGATCTTGTGCAGCGGCAGCGCGACCTCCTCCTCCTCGTCGGCGGAGTCGCCGTCCGCCTCCTCGTTGAAGTCCCCCATGTTGACGTCGTCGTCCGCCGGGCCGATCACCTCGACGAGAGCCGCCAAAGACATGTCCCCCTGCTCCATCTCCGCCATCTACACACACAACAACATTAATAATGATGATGATGATTTTATAGGGAGTGCCTTTCCTAATGACATCTCAAAGCACAGTACAAAAATATATATATACACGACATTCCAAACGACAAACACTAAAAGGTGATTATACAATTAATCGCACAAAGAACAAGCTATGGAAGTAAAGAGTAAAATTTACACGCATCGGTAAAATGCACGCGAGCACACACGCATGCACAGATGAAGGTGTGTTGGGCGCAGGTGAGTGGCTGATGGTGGTGTGGGTGGAGGCAAGCGGGCACATTGGCTTTGTTGATGCTCTTTAGGTTGAAGAGGCTGAAGTCAGAGCTCTCGGCCAGGGAGTCTCCGGGCACGTCCATCTTCAACTCCATCCTCTCGCGCAGCTTCCGCCGCTCCTTCAGCAGCTTCTTCTTCTTTCTGCGGGGGAGGCGACGGGGACCGAAGGCTCGGACTGACTCTCTAGGCCGCACGATGCTGCTACACGATGCCGACGCTTCTGCAAAGTAGCCCAGGGCACGAACGTAGTAGAGCTGTCAGGGGCGTAGTCTAGAAGCCCAGGTGGTCTCCAGGGGAGGGGGGGGGAGGGAAGCCCACCCTACCCCCCCCCCCAATGTACACCCCTCCCTTAATATAGACCCCCAACTCCCAATCTACTTCCACCCCCCAGTCTACCCCCACCCCCACATCTACTCCCACCCCCCACCGACCCCCGCGTCCCGCTTGGAATCCACCACACTGTGTACGAGTGTTACAGCACATCCAGTGTTACTGCAAACGGGGTTCGCCAAGGGAGACTCGGACACACCGTGGCACTTCGACACGAGAAAGCCTCGCCGCACAGGCCCTCACCTTTTGAGGTCAGCCACCTCGTCGGATTTCATGTCGGCCAGCTGCTTCTCCATCTCCTCCTCGTTGTCGTCGTCGCTGCCATCGACCGCCCCCGCCTGCCTGCCGTCGCTCTCCCCCTCGGACGAGTCGAGGCTGCGAGAAGCGAGAAGTGATCGCAGGGCTCGGCCGCGCCACTCCCGACGTTGATGTTCGGCCCCCCAAAATATTTTTAGTCATCCCGGAGCAATGCTCTTTCAAATCTGCGATTTATGAGGGCAGTATGCCGACCCCTGTTCATTTGTCTGACCCGTTGTAATTACCGTTGGACAATCCTAAAAATGTGCGACACGCCGGCCAATTGTCTACTAATAGTTCCCAGGTTAAGCAGACAATTTGGATCAAAAGCATTTTAATGCAGCTGCCCCACAGATTTGGAACCACCTCAGAGGTCTCTTGGCGTCTCCATTCTGCCATCTGTCCCCACTTAATCTTTCGTGATTTTAATAGTCAGGTTAAGTGTGAATGTAATTTTACAAAATAATTGCGATGAAATTATTTTGTTTAATCTGTAATTGCGCGAATGCTTTGATGTTGTCTGCGGGCTGAGTCGCCCTTTAAAAAAACAGCATCTTAGCTCAGTGGGCTTTACTCATGAAATAGACTTGCGATTACGATTAATACGGTGTTGAACAGCACACCCGGTCGAACGCACAAACAAATACACAATTAGACGCACGCTCCCGCGATGCTAGCGCGTTGGAACGCGTCGGCAGGATTCACGAGTTTGTGCGTGGCTTGCGCGTTCCCCGCCAAGGCCGAGTTGACAGCAGGCACCTATTTCACAGGGTAAAACCCCGAGCAGCTGCGGCAGTGGAATGCGCACGTTCACACTGTGTGGCGTTTGTAATATGGTGAGCCGGACAGAGAGCGAGAGAGAGAGCGCTCACCCCGGGCACACTGCCCCCTGCTGCAGCGACCTGGCTGCGATGAGAAGCGCCCGCCTGCGAACTCACCTGATATCTCCGTCTGTAGCCGTCACCGGCGTCGCCGCTTCCTCCGCGGGCGCCGCTTTCTCCACGGGTGCCGCTCCCTCCTCGGTCGCCCGCAACAAACTCTTTTTCAGTTTTGTCCGCCAGTTGATGAGCGACCTGAAGGGGGTGGTCACCAAACGGGGTCAACTCAACACCGCTCCCTCCCATAATATCTCACCCCCCCCCCCCCCCAACAGGTTTACACTCGGAGCATAATAACAATTTAGCACATTTGTAATGAAAGCCATTCCTCATCTAGTCGTTCGTAAGGCGCTACGTTTCACGGACACAGTCTGTGGTATTTTCACAGCGGAGAGGGCGCGATGTTTCCGTGTGTAATCCCAATTTAATAATTAGTGGGTAATGTGTGAAATTTCTCAGATTTTGGCCATGACGCCAGCACACAATGGCCTTTTGTTTTTCGAATGACGTCAGGGGATCTTTAACGTCCACTGCGAATCGGACGTGCGGGTATTTTATGGTTAATACATCCAGCAGTATTAACCAGGACAGCGTGTGGCTAACGCGCTACTGCTGGGCCGTGTCGCTCCCCAATAATCGTCGACGCGTTCTCAACAAATACCAACTTGTTAACGGACAGGCGTGAGATTTCACTCAACTATTTGAATGCCCAATATCGTGACTCGATAATTATTACTCAAAGAGTTACGACAAATTTGATCTTAAAGCGAACTCATGCCATTTCTAGGTTGTTGTACGTCTGCATCTGGTCCCTGATGTATTCAACAGTGCAGGGGCCCGGGTTCAAATTGCCTCGCGATTGCTGCTGCCGCTACAGTTGCTGCTGCTTGCTATTCCTGTTACGACTGCTGCCGTTGTTTCAGCTGCCGCTAACAATGCTGCCGATACTGCTACTGCTGCTGCTACGACCACCGCTATTCGCTACCGCTGCCGCCGCTGCTCACCTAAGCTCCTTGCGCCCGAGCACTTTGATGTCTCGGCAGCACTCCGCGATCTCGTTGGTGGTGCTTGGGTGAGAAACCATGCGTGGGTCATCCAGCACGATCTACAGGGGGAGGGGCAAGGTGGGGGGGAAGGGGGAGGGGCAAGATGAGGGGGGGGGGGGGCAATTTACAGACCATTGATAATCCACTGCTGGATAAAAGCCTCCCCACGCTGGAGTGTGGAGATTCTTGAAGCTGAGCCCAGGACCGGTTCAGATATAACTCGCCACTAGTGTTGGCCTTGGCCGGGAATAAAACTCAGGTTGGGGGGGTTCATAGTGCAGTGCGCGGACCACATGCTGTACTGCTCCTCAACTGCATGTAGACAATACACATGCAACAACAAGAACCGCCGTTCGCCACTAAGTTGCGGTGACGTAACCACAGCACTTATGCCTGACAAATATCCCCTCTATAACCTTAACAGAATGTGAGGGGGCAAGTGCTGTTAGCCAGCACCTATGAAGGCCGGCGCGGCACACGAGGGGGTGGGTGGCCAGCACCACGCCCGGCCGCCTTTATCTCGCTAGTGGCGATGTTTACACACCACACCAGGTCCTCATTTGAGGCTGGGTCGGCCTAGGGGAGGGCCCAGGACTGGTTCAGATAATCGTCACTGATGTTGGCGAGTGGGAATTGAACTCGGGTCCCCAGGTTCGGAGTGCAGAGCGCAAACCACTACACTACCACTCCCCAGCGGTGCACATGTGAATACACAAACAACAGGGCATCTGCGCAGCTGTGGCACAAAACCTTTGGTTTATATTTTGTTGTAATGGCACAAAACATTTTGTGCATAGCTATATTACAGTGGCTGAATCTTGATAATAATTCTAAGAGTGCATAAAAAGTATATTGAAAAACGCAACACACGCATCAATTACACTGCCTTCAAATTCGAACTTTTTTGTGCTCTGAAGAATGAGCCATCACCTGAAACGTTGCTCATCACATTTTATTTTAAGGCCACGGAGTGTTACTGACAAAAGTGAGTTTTTTTTTTATTATTATCGACTGTACTTTTAGACCACTGCCAACGCAGTTTCGCCAATTGATTTGTTTTGACTTACAAACATTGGCGTGATGTTGAGGGAGCCGACAGGCCGTAGCCTCGCGCGGCCAACGACCGCCGCCTGAGCGTACGTTTGCACGTACGCACGTTGTTGAGCCTCTTTCGCGCCGTACGTAGCCAGCCGTGCTAGTCGGAGGCGCGGGAAAAACCAACCGTGCTCATCCGAGGAGCGGGCGGCAGCAACTCACCTGGCTGCACTTGTTCAGGAAGTCGATGGGGTTGCTGCACTTGAGGAACTCGGTGGCTGGGAGAGGATGGAAGAGCGTGTAGTCCCCCTCCGTGTATCCCTCGGCCTGTGACGCGGCACACACAGCCGCGGGCGCGGCGAGTCAGCGTACGAGCAACAAGGTGGCGTTCCATCGTTAAGCCAGGCAGAGCTGCAGCCGCGTCTTAAAGATTTCCTCACGGGAGGGATCCCGCGGGGGGACATTGGACGATTTCCTTTCAGGTATTTTGTTTGGCACGGAACGAAAACCGGACACCAAAGAGGGCCAGCTCCTAACGAGGTCATCTCGCTTGACCACCTGAATGTGAAATTGTAGTTGTTTGCTCTGCATCTACACCGACCAAACGAGACAAGACTGACGCTGACCGAACGTTAATTTGGCACGACCCAAGTCCACTCCCCTTAGCGGCATACCACTGTTATGGTGACCCTCTCCACCTCTCACACAAAAACTCTACAGGCACACCCCCCCCACCTCCACACCCCCCCCCCCCCCCCACCTCCACACCTGAAGGGAGCTGAAGCCGGACGGCCCGATACAAACCCTGAACAAACGTGAGAAACCCACTCGACTCCCTCGCTTTCCACAGCATCAACTGAGGCAGGGCACAGCACTTCATCAGGCTACTGCCACGCAGACGTGCATTACCTCCACCGATGTTGACCACAACGTATCATTAGGCTCAACGACCCCAATGCACCACACGTTCCGCCACGCAACAGACAACCGTGCGCACGTGCACGCAACGATGCCTCACTTTGGGTTTTTTCTTGTCGTCGGCAATGTCCCTTATGGTCTTAGCTTCGATCTCGACCTCCTTGAATGCGTACTTTGCATCGAAAAACTTGCTGTCGATTTTGTCTGGAGCTTTGTAACCTAAACATAAAATGATAACGACGACGACAACAACAGACGATATCGTACGGCGCGCGTTTCATTTTCCAGACGCTGGAGAAGTGTAAAACGAACTCCAATAGTGCGGCACGGTCTCCTGCGGGGAGCCAGGAGGGCCGTGCCGCACGTCGTCGCCGGCTGTGAAGTCCGTCAGGGCGTGCCGGGCGGACTGGTTGCCCTGCACGTGCTGGAGGAGGAGGCTGTCACATGGCTCTGTGGCTACACGGACTGACGTCCACTCACATATAACACTGACAAGCATATTCATCGATTTTTCTTGCATATCTAGCGCTCTGAAATACATGAGTCACGTGTAAAAGCGTTTGCTAAATAAATAATTATTTCAAGCTCTCCGGCTACCACTGGTGCTGATTTTCAGTTTTTTTATCTTTGCAGGGAGACTGCAGTCATGCCCAGTGTATCCCGAGCCACGTTGTGCATTTATCTGACTGTCCACCCCGCCCCCATGACGTGGCCCAGTGGCAGTGGCTTGGCCGCTTGTTGCAGACGTTCGCGGTTCTAACCCGGTAGACCACCTTGGTTAATACTACCGGTATAACAGCTGTCAAGTGTGTGCTGCCTGTTCCACGGTGGACATTAATGATCTTGTGGCGACATTCAAAATCAGCGAGTAGGTAGGCCACTGTGTGACCGTGTTACGGTCCAAATTTGGGAGTACACAGAGTAACACAAAGGCAACATCGCCCCCCCTACTGTGAAACTACCACTACGTGAAATACAGTACCTTCATGATAGCCTTATGTCAATTATAATTATGCTTGCTGACTGGCTGTTGACCTCGGTGAGACAAATTATGCGTGCCATCTTTTAGTCGACTGGTGCATCCTCCCCTCCTACGACCCCCGACATGTGCCCCCCCAAACCCCCCGGGGGAGACCCACCTTGGCACACGACGAAGATCTCGGCAGACTCGCTACGCGATGCCTGGGGCTTGGTGGCCTGGACCTTCTGGAAGAACTGCTGGAAGAGCCACATGAGCGGCTGGTAGTCGCGCGAGCGGAACACCTTGGTGATGAACCAGCCGCCCTTGTTGAGGAAATCGCATGCCAGCTTCAGCGCCTGGAGCGTGAGCCGCGCTGCGGGCGACGGGAACGCGGCGGGAAGACGTCACGTGACGGCCAAACTCTGCCTCACACCACGCCGCTCTGCCTCACACCACGCCGCTCTGCCTCACACCACGCCGCTCTGCCCCACACCACGCCGCTCTGCCTCACACCACGCCGCTCTGCCTCACACCACGCCGCTCTGCCTCACACCACGCCGCTCTGCCTCACACCACGCCGCTCTGCCTCACACCACGCCGCTCTGCCCCACACCACGCCGCTCTGCCTCACACCACGCCGCTCTGCCTCACACCACGCCGCTCTGCCCCACACCACGCCGCTCTGCCCCACACCACGCCGCTCTGCCTCACACCACGCCGCTCTGCGTCACACCACGCCGCTCTGCCTCACACCACGCCGCTCTGCCTCACACCACGCCGCTCTGCCTCACACCACGCCGCTCTGCCTCACACCACGCCGCTCTGCCTCACACCACGCCGCTCTGCCTCACACCACGCCGCTCTGCCCCACACCACGTCGCTCTGCCTCACACCACGTCGCTCTGCCTCACACCACGCCGCTCTGCCTCACACCACGCCGCTCTGCGTCACACCACGCCACTCTGCCTCACACCACGCCGCTCTGCCCCACACCACGCCGCTCTGCCCCACACTCTGATCTACCGCACACCCTGCAATATAGCACAGCCAGCTCTACACCATTCCTCACTCTACACCCCACCCCACACCACTCTACCGCACACCCTGTTCTACCGCAACCCCTCTGCTCGACACCACATTCTACTCTAATGCAGACCGTCTTTATTAAGAATACATGACGATCGCTCCCCCCCTCCCATCCCTCTACTTTGACTTTCGCGACCAATATCACGGGTTTAACGACGTAATTATTTACGCAATTTAACCCAAAAAAAACCTGTATTATGCATCCCTCTCCTGTTAACTCAATTCGAATCCAACTTGCAGAGCATACGTGCCATCAGCTGCCAGGGCCTCAATCCACATTCATTTCCCTTTTATCAGACCTTAAGGGAAACCCAGAGATGCAATTACCATGATGGATCAGCTGTGGTGCTGCCTCACAAGGAAATTCCTCCATGGCTAGCCGCCCCCTAGTTTGAACGCTGTCTGCACAGGGCATCCAACTAACCGCAACGACTACTACGACTACCCAGCCTCACACTCGCCCCCCGCCCCCCCCCCCGCCCCACTGCCCCCCCACCACCGTCTCACCCTGGGCGTACGCGTCGTGCGACCAGTTGGCTCCCACATTGGGCGCTCCGTCGTTGAGCATGCAGTCCACCTTCCACGTCTGCAGCTCCTTCTTGAGAGCCTGCGCGCGCACACGAACGCGCGCGGCGCGGCGTCCACGGCGTTAAGGTTTTTACCACAAAAAACCCACGCTTTCAAGAACCCCCCCCCCCCCCTGCCCGCGTCACTGTCCCAAAAAAAACAAAAGAGCCAGCCCAAAGAACGTGGAAAAGCTCACGGTCGAGCAGGAGCAACGTCACGAGTTGAATCGTCAACGCCGGCCAGATCAAGGCCTAACCCACAGGAAGACCTCGGCAAGGAGACGAGGAGCGGGATGCGGCCCGATGCGATAAAACTCCCGACGGCGCAAACGTCGGAAACAAACGGCCACAGCCATGCGGCAGGCCCTCTGCGATGCACGAAGAGAAAGGATGGGTTTGGCGGTCCTAAGCAGTGCATAAACGTAGCTCTTTGCATTAAAGCTAGGGTTCAGGGAAGGACTAAGTTTGCTGTTTGGAGTGGCACAGCGTAGGACTGTATGCTATTTAACAATATGCAATGTGCAAAATGCAATGTCCTCTGGCAATCGCCCTTCTGCAGGATAGAGAAGGGGTTACCCAGCTGTACAAGTTGTACGCAGCGCTGGCCAGCAGATGGGCAAGGACCTGCCAATATAGAAGGCGACGTCGCCATTTATTTTTCCCCAATCGAGCAATCTGCGGGCAACTTAACAAATTTGATGCGCACTGCGAAGAACGTGAAGGGACCCTGACCGTCCACTCTTGACGCAGACGGCACGTATTCGCTGTTAATGCACCCGGGCACCATTAACCAGGGCGGGCAGCCGGGCTGAAACGGGCAGAAAAACCTCCCTCCACAAGCGGCAGACGTGCCACTGCTCGGCTGCGTTTTGCCACCCCCCCCCCAACCATGAGCGCACCTGGCGGCACTTATCCGTGGTGATGTCCTCCTGTAGGGTGACGACGTTCGGGATGGACTTGATGGGCACGAGGTCCACGCCTGCCGACGACAACGACCACGAGGCGTCCACCATCCACCCGCAACCACTCACTCGCGAAAATGCCGACGCGCACGGATGGCACGCAAACCAGTACCGTATTATCCAATAGGCAACAGTAGGTACCGTGCCTAGGGCCCATGAAAACTAAAGGGCCTTACGGAAAGAAATGTGACCATATTATGTTTTTGTTTGTATGTATGATAAAAAAAAAATGCAACCAAGGTATCGTCTTGAATAAATACATATCGCAAGGATAAGCACAGTGTATGTACAAAGAGGCAAGGTCAAGTGAATCGTTTTTTTGTACATGAGGCGAGATAAATTAACGCCATAGATGTAAGGGAAGACAAGCGTTGTTGTCCTATGGTTAATCAGCATTTCCGAGTGACAGCGGCGGTAGTAACATGGGGGAGCAGCAGTAGCAACTGCAGAAAGTCATCACTTAAGGCCTAAGAAACAGAAGTGCCGAGGCCCTGCAAGAACCTTAATCCGACCATGGGGCAAACGCGCCGTTTACTTTCGAGGCAAACCTTACCGATGACGAGACTTGAGATGGGCATGAACTTCGATGCCACCTGCAGCCTGGAAACACAATGCGTAATATATCAAGGGTTGCTCACATATCACAACGCGACTCGTCATAAATGACGGGTCGAGATTCCACGCAGGTCATGTCCGAAGCACCACAAAGGGTGATCACAACAGCACTGCATCTCTATCGACTATCGATTGGGTGTGCACGGCTTATTGTAGGAGTTCACTGGTGATACATTACAATAGACGACACGCTGATGCTCAACCTCGTTTTCAGAAGGGGCCTGCCTGCCTGTTTGGAGAATTGTGGTTTTATTGCATTTGGGAGGCAGCAATCATCTGGATTTTTAAAAAAAAATGCATGCAAGAGAATTATCAAGCATATATGTGGTCTTGTGATCGTGATATTTGCTGTACTACCTTCTGCAGGCACCTGGTTGGCCAGCGGTATCAGTTTTGGTCTTTGCTGTCCTTCTCACACCACTGGCTAGAGGTGTGCGTCACTACAGACTGCAGCCAGTGCGTGCCTCAGTCGTGTACCAATCTACAGGCACCACGGAGTGTGTGTCTGTGTGTGTTTGCACTTGACTCTGCGCGTCAGGTACCATACTACAGATGCCACAAGTGTATGTACATGATTCAGTGAGGCATGGTACTTACTACCCTACAGACACCACACATTCGAGATTTGAAGTTTTCGTGACTGCAAGGATCCATACTCTTTGGTTCTTTTGGTAAAGTCACGTAGGTGAAAAAATTAAAATAAGAGTAAAAAATAAAAAAAATACTCTTTTTAATTTTTTTTTCACCTACGTGACTTTACCGAAAGAATCAAAGAGTATAGACACCACACAGTCTGTGCATTACTAAGTGAACCGCATACCACCCTACCAGGCACCACGCAGTGTGCACAACTCAAGTTGAGTCGACTACCAACAAAATCCTACAGGCAGCACGCAGTGCGTGCGCGAGTCATCTCGGCGAGTCGCGTATCAATCTTACAGGCGCCGCGCGGCGTACACGACTCAGTGAGTCACTGAGTCGTGTACTCAGTGAGTCGTGTACCAAAATATTCCAGGCACCGCTCGGTGTGCACGAGTCGTGTAACAATATCACCGGCAGCATGCTGTGTGCGTGTGCGTGAGCGTGCGTGTCCGGGTGTGATGTCGGCGAGTCGCGTACCATCCTCCAGGAGCGGCGCACAGGTCCACGAGGACGCGCGCGCGCTGCAGGAAGCCGAACTTGCGGTTGAGCTGGATGAGCTTGAAGGCAGAGCGAGCGCGGTAGCCTGCAGCAGAAGAGCAACCGCACAGCCGCGTCACACCCCCGCCAGCCGCTCTGCACCTTACCGAACTTTGCCGTTATTTCGATTTAAAGCTTTCGTGACTGCAAGGATTCATCTTCTTTGGTTCTTTCGGTAAAGTCACGTAGGATGAGAATAAAATAATAAATTGATAAAATAAAATAACACTAATATTCTCACGACGTTTCGGCCACAACACAAGCGGCCTTCATCAGGTGAAGGGGACGAGACTGTCTGGAGGACAGCGCTGGAGTGTCAATTTATTATTTTATTTTATCAATTTATTATTTTATTCTCATTCTACGTGACTTTACCGAAAGAACCAAAGAAGATTTGCCGTTATTTTTGGCTCACAAGTGACGACATCACATTTATTCCTCTATTTAAGAACAGGAGGATTCCTCCACAAATCTGGCTGTTGCCTGATGATGCTCGTTGTGGTTTTATTCGCTCGATCGTGATCGCTTTGCCACGCGCTCAGCTCCTCTCCAACCACTCATCACCTCGTCCTTGTTTTCGGTGCAATGCGCCTGCTTATTTCGTTCATATTGTTGCGTTTTTTTTTCTTCACGAACTAACGTTGCCTGCACATCGGACGCGTTCCGTTCCGGTGTTGCCCGTGCCTTCGTACGAATCGCTTTGATGTTGCCGTTCCTTTTCTGCAGTGATGCGCCACGAATCCTCCGTGCAAACTCGCTGGATGACTGGCTAAACGGGACTTATCGTGTAACAAATAAACAAAGCCTACGTGTTAAAACCAAATAAACAATGATTTATTGATTGACCGTCACTCTTACTACAATGTTACTGTTTTTGTTTAAAACACAGTAGCTGAACACTGTCACAAAGGCCCAAAACGTCAAGTGGCCTGCAACATACAGCACTCTTATCAAAGTTGCAATGGTAGTATAGTTTAAGTGTTTATTGAATTGAGCAACGTTAAAGAGCTTGGTTAAAGAGCCAATGGGAGGGAGGTCGTGGTTGTTGTGGTGGTAGTGGCTGCAGTGGTTGTTGTAGTGGTAATAATTGGTGTGGTAGTGATTGTTGTGCGGTGGTAGTGGTAAAATTGTGGTGGTAGTGGTTGCTGCTGTGGTATGGTTAAAGTGGTTGTACTTATGTTTGGCCGTGGTTGTTGTGATGGGTTGGATTGGTTTTTTTTCGATGGTTGTAGGTATTGTGGTCGTGGTTGCGTTAGCGGTTGCTGTCATGGGTGGTAGTGGTTGTTGAGATGGGGCAGTGGTTGTTATTGTTGCTGTGGTTGTTGTGAGGGTGGTAATGGTTGTTGAGATGGGGGCAGTGGTTGTCGTTGTGAGGGTGGTAGTGGTTGTTGTTGTTGTGTGAGCAGTGTTTGTTGTTGTTAGGGTGGTAGTGGTTGTTGAGATGGGGGCAGTGGTTGTCGTTGTGAGGGTGGTAGTGGTTGTTGAGATAGGGGCAGTGGTTGTTGAGGTGTGAGCAGTGGTTGTTATTGTTGTGAGCGTGGTAGTGGTTGTTGAGATGGGGGCCATCGGTTACTGTCGTTGTGGTTGCGAGGGTGATCGTCGTTGTGTTTGGTAGTTCAGGCTGCGGTGGGCTCAGGCCGCGCCACGTGCACACTCACCCGTCTCCTTGGCCAGCAGGTAGAACTTGTCGCGCCGCGCCTTCCCGATCTTCGACTTCTTCCCCATCGCTGAGCGGAGTCACAGGCGCGTGTTAGTACACGACTCGCGCGCACCGCATGTGCTACATTGAATACTGCTGCGTCGTTCGTACTACACGATACGGATGCGGTCGTGTATCTGGCTGCAGGCGAGCAGTTGGCTGTGGAGCCTGCCGTAGCAAGGAGTTAGTTCCACTGCACCGTTAAGCTGCTGTGGAAACATATCTCTCTCTGTCTACGCTGTGCAGCTGCGGTAGTGAGGTGTTAGTACCACTGCCGGTCTGCGGTAGTGAGGCGTTGGTATCCGTGTGGAGCTGCGGAAGTGAGGCGTTGGCAAATCTATGGCTGCGGTAGTGAGCAGTGCCTCTGTGGGAGCTGCAGTAGTGAGGCGTTAGTACATCTCTGGGGTCGCGGTAGTGAGGCGCTAGTACCTCTGTGCGGCCGCGGTAGTGAGACGTTAGTACCTCTGTGGGGTCGCGGTAGCGAGGCGTTAGTACCTGTGGGGTCGGGGTAGCGAGGCGTTAGTACCTCTGTGGGGTCGCGGTAGTGAGGCGTTAGTACCTCTGTGGGGCCACGGTAGTGAGGCGTTAGTACCTCTGTGGGGCAGTGAGGCGTTAGTACCTCTCTGGGGTCGGGGTAGTGAGGCGTTAGTACCTCTGTGGGGTCGCGGTAGCGAGGCGTTAGTACCTCTGTGGGGCAGTGAGGCGTTAGTACCTCTCTGGGGTCGGGGTAGTGAGGCGTTAGTACCTCTGTGGGGCCACGGTAGCGAGGCGTTAGTACCTCTGTGGGGCAGTGAGGCGTTAGTACCTCTCTGGGGTCGGGGTAGTGAGGCGTTAGTACCTCTGTGGGGTCGCGGTAGCGAGGCGTTAGTACCTGTGGGGTCGGGGTAGCGAGGCGTTAGTACCTCTGTGGGGTCGCGGTAGTGAGGCGTTAGTACCTCTGTGGGGCCACGGTAGTGAGGCGTTAGTACCTCTGTGGGGCAGTGAGGCGTTAGTACCTCTCTGGGGTCGGGGTAGTGAGGCGTTAGTACCTCTGTGGGGTCGCGGTAGCGAGGCGTTAGTACCTCTGTGGGGCAGTGAGGCGTTAGTACCTCTCTGGGGTCGGGGTAGTGAGGCGTTAGTACCTCTGTGGGGCCGCGGTAGCGAGGCGTTAGTACCTCTGTGGGGTCGCGGTAGCGAGGCGTTAGTACCTCTGTGGGGTCGCGGTAGTGAGGCGTTAGTACCTCTGTGGGGCCACGGTAATGAGGCGTTAGTACCTTTGTGGGGTCGCGCTAGCGAGGCGTTAGTACCTCTGTGGGGTCGCGGTAGTGAGGCGTTAGTACCTCTGTGGGGCCACGGTAATGAGGCGTTAGTACCTCTGTGGGGCCACGGTAATGAGGCGTTAGTACCTTTGTGGGGTCGCGCTAGCGAGGCGTTAGTACCTCTGTGGGGTCGCGCTAGCGAGGCGTTAGTACCTCTGTGGGGTCGGGGTAGAGTCGTGAGCGCCTCCGCGTTTCTCTCGTTCCCTCGAGCCGGTGAGGTTCTCGACCACGTGCAGCAGCGTGGCGGCCGGTGATGACGTCACGGGTCAGAGTTCAAAGTGCGAGTACGGCAGCGGGGCGGGGTCAAAGACGCCAGGGATTTACGAACCGCGTTTGTCGCCAAAGGTCACCACGCCCCCGTAAACAACGTTTCGGGCAGTGGCCCCTTATATGCGGAGCAGAGCGAGCGCGGAATAAGTTGGCTCTTTGTCACTGATGTTTTAAGTGTGTGTGTAGGGTGGGGTGGGGGGGTTATCAGTGGCGTAGTGGTTATCGCACTGCGCTACAAACCCTGCGATACTTTAGTTCGATTCTAGGCCACGGCCAACGACCGGTGTGGAGTGATCGCTGTGCTGTCGGTCTTTGATCCGATGAGCAACAAATTATTAATAACCCCACAGCCGTCAAACCCTACGGTTTAACCCGTATTCTTGTACAGGGACATTGAGTTTTCAGGGCCATACGGCGTACAGACGTTTCAATACGGACAACAAATAGTGTATATCTGTTTGTGTTTCTCTCCTTGTGATGGGACTTTGTAGGATGAACGTTGAGATTTATAAGGGGCACGGGGTGACCCAATAAGGTCTGAATTAATCTTCTTTGGTTCTTTCGGTAAAGTCACGTAGAATGAGAATAAAACTAAAATTCTCACGACGTTTCGGCCACAACAAAAGTGGCCTTCTTCAGGTGAAAGGGACAGACCTGTTGGGACGACAGAGCTTCAATAAACGCTGTTAAGATTCGTAGCGCCCTTTTAAGCTGGTTGAGCGAAAGTCAGGCACCCAAGCAGTAGAATTTAGCATTGAAAAAGGTTGAGGGATTAGCTTGTGACTGGTCACAGAAATGGCTATGTAAATTCAAAGCCTACACATCCACAGAGCTTTTTCAATGCTAAATTCTACTGCTTGGGTGCCTGACTTTCGCTCAACCAGCATAAAAGGGCGCAACGGATCTTAACAGCGTTTATTGAAGCTCTGTCGTCCCAACAGGTCTGTCCCTTTCACCTGAAGGCCACTTGTGTTGTGGCCGAAACGTCGTGAGAATTTTGTTGTTTTATTTTATTCTCATTCTACTTGACTTTACCGAAAGAACCAAAGAAGATGAATCCTTGCAGTCACGAAAGCTTTAAATCGAAAAGGTCTGAATTGGTCTGTAATAAGTTAGGGCACTGATAAGGGGTTGATAGCCGTGTTACCCGGTGCTGTGTGCAGTCAGCAACTAAGGTGATAAAGGCAGCCGGGAGTGGTGTGCCGAGCCAGTATATTATTAGGTGCTCAATTCAAAATAGGATTTTTTTGGATCAGATCGCGTCAAATGTGTCGTCAACCCTCCTCCACCCGACAGACCACAAAGTTGACAAACCTTACTGATTGTCTGTGACGGGTGGTGGCAGGTTTAACGACACATCTAACACCCCCCCCCCGTATTATGGAGTAGAGCCTACAGGGGGGGGGGGGGGTCTGTCCCTTTTTAAACGGATTTACTAAACTTGACTCCGATGTTTAGTCGTGGTCAAATCTTGTAATAAAAATTTAGTCTACTTCCTGTTGTCCAACGAATCCCTAATTTTGCACACCTATTTCAGATCCGGTGACAATGCATGCCTGTGTCAAAATCGGCATCAATTAATCAATTCATTGGCTCTTTTAAATCAATTTACATTTTGTATGGGCGGCTCATTAATTAAATATTTATTTGGGAAGCCGGCGCCACGTGTCTCAGGCGCGCCTGCTCCGTGTGAACAAGTTATGGAAGTAATCAATTACTGTAATTCCAGTAAGCGTTGATGTGGGAGCAGGCGCCGCGTCGTTGACGTACTTCTCGAGCGTGAGTTAAACGAAGTTGTTAATAAAACCGTTGTTGAAAACACAAAAAAAATGTTAGGAGTTTATTCACTTAAGCAACGAAGGCAAAACGTCCCACGCGGTTAACCTCGGCCGCCGCCGTCCTGATTGTGGGCCCTCGGGGTGGGTTAATGCGAGACGCTTTCTAATAGCGTGGAGCCACGCAGTGGCTTCTTCACTGCTCGCGAGCAAAAGTGAGAACACAACTAACGGCCAACGCAGCAAAAATGTGCATTTATTACTCGATGTGAAACGTGATGTAGTTTTAAAACAAATGAATATTGTCTTCACTTTAAATTAGTGCAAAAATGAAAACGCGAGTTTGCAAAAGAACACGCAAAATTATGCATTTTGTTGAAATGGCAAAAAGAGATAGTGACCTAAACTTCGAAGCAGTTAAAATGTCTAAAGGCATTCTATTTGGTTGAATTTTAATTCCACAAACAAGATGTTCTTTATTCATATTCTTAGCTCTTTCGGTAAAGTCACGTTGAAGGGAAACAATAAAATAATAAAATATATATAAAACAATAAAAATGTTCTTTGTAATGGCTGGAATTGCCAATTGTCCCTTATACCGTGTACGGATCACGGCTCAGTGGTGGGGTGGAAGGTACTAGGTGATGCCAGTGTCAAGTTCCATAGTTCTGTGCCAGCTCCACTGGCACCTCTTAAGTGGACCGACCTCACTGATGAGAAAATATTTAAAGAATAAAGGTGGGTCAATGCTTTATATGGATAACGGATTTTTTTTTTTTTACAAGAACGTGACTGGTACGGGAGTCAAACCACAGCAGATACGGTCTTTGCGTGGCCTTACATTGGAAGACAGAAGAAGTCCAATTGTGGCAAGGGCGTTATTATGAGTGCCATAAATTATGACGTTCTACCACAAACACCTAGAGTCCTGCCATCACTGGACGTCACGAGAAAATGCAAGTTTTAACATCTTAATAATACTCGTTATTTATCCAAGATAGCGAAAATACCAAGAATAGTTTTTGGGTGGCTGCTGCATTTGGCGATGTTCAACCAAATTCCTTTTCAATGGAGTGCTTTCCAACTGGGAGGAAACTATTGCCCAGAGATAACACACACAAGGGAATAAGGATCAAAATGTATTAATAGATGGGTTCCGCAATTCAAATTTCTGTACTGCCATATCGCCGCCACACAGCCCAGCGGGTTCGTGGTCTCCCGGCTCGAGATGACCACTGTGCAAAGCACCGTCCCTGCCTCGAGGCAAGGCAAAAAGGTGACGGGCAGAACATTGGCGTCCACCTTGCTCTGCTCATCCATGCCACGAGGGTTTTGCAACCGTCAGGCATCGAGGGCAGCTCAACACGACCCAGGCCGCAATGACGGCATCAACATTCTGTCATTAGGCATTCCGCAGACTGACCAGGAAAGGGTTGTCCACATAAAGCACCTGTGGCAAAAGGCAGCAGTTGGAAATCATGGCTATATTGTACTGATGATTCCTGACAAGGATGACGCCCTTATACAGTTTTCCTATTGTCCTGCTCCTGGCTAACACGACCACGATATTGGTGTTTTAACATCGTAACACCTGTTTTGTTGCCAAAAAAAGGGGAAAACCTATTCTCATATTTTGGTACTGGCAAAGGACGTCCCATAATGTATATGCACCAAGCCGAGCTCTCATTACTCTGATAGTGGCATTGTCTTTGTACTGTACGCCGTTTGGCGTCCTCTGGTCTAACACTTTAAAACCAGGCTCCAAAGATAGCTGTCTCTGGTGTGGACCAATCAGTTTCAAAGACAATGCCACATATTATCAGAGTATGTTTTTTGTTTGCATTCTTACCACACAAGTATTGTGGTTAATGCGGACATGATTACTTGTAAAAGGTTTAAGTTTGGTGTTTTAACATCTTAACACCTGTTTTGTTACCAGAAAAAAGGGGAAACCTATTCATAAGGCTGTGCATTTTAAGTGTACGTCACGTTACATGCATGGTATGATAGGACTAATGGTGACAATTTCTCTTTGTCTTTAAATCACCTTTTGTATTTTATTACTCTGGAAACTCAAACGAGTACATTTCTGCAAGGTGACTCACGTAATTTAGATAATTACTCTTAGATTATTACTACTTTATTATTACTTAAATGTGATTACTTTCATAATACTGGCAGGGTCTATTATGCAAATCTGTGTGGATACGATGGCTGGGACCAAGACTTTCACTTGAGCTCAATGAAAGAGTGGACTGCGGGTCTTTTGAAATCATCTTCATGTACTTCATATTCAAGTATAACAAACTGTTCATATCCAAACGTCAAGCACAAACAGCAAGGAACATACATGTGTCATAGGCTGGAATGGACCAGGCACCAACAAAAAATAGCCATAAAAGTAAAATGAAATGAACTCACCACCTTCAAAATTAACACTACCCTATTAGGGAAACATGTACAACCAAATAACATTTCAGAATAATTTTGTTATGGGGCAGTTTTGATGGAAGGTGGTGAGTTTTAAAATATATATTACCACTTTCAGCTTCATGGTAATGTATTCTTAAAACAACCCTGGGATACACGTCAATTACGGCTGACATTGCACTTCGGGATATGGCACCCTATGTGAAATGCAGCATGTCCAGCAGGAAGAACAGAAAAATATTGCAAACCATGCATCTTTATCACTTTCAACACGGCCACCGCGGTCGTAAACTGTGATCGAGACGCAGGCTACATCACTGCTCATGGCGCAGGTGTATACAATGTGTATTTGAAATCCAGGGCTTGGAAAATAACTTTTGTTCGCTACCGATTGCATATACTTGGACCCTGTATTTTCCTGTCCATGGCAGTGACGTGCTCATGCTCAAAGCTAAACGGGGTGGCTCCCAACGCGCCACATAAATTCAGTCAAACTCCAAAAAATCCTCCATTAATCCGCGAATCCCATAGTTCGTAGCATGCTTATGGTTTGTAGAAACTTTTTAAAGCGGATTTTCGGAGTCGTGTGGCAAAAAAACTCAAATCTGTGATTTATTTTTGCAGATCATTGGAGTAATTTCCACGGCGTGTCACAGGATTCCAGGACCAGCAAAAAATCCCCATATCACGGATTTTTGAATTTCTACTCTGTGTATGACACTCGGCCTGATTCTTGTGTTGGTGGAAAATTAGTTCCTGCCAATTTTAGCATAAATACTGCTAAATTGTAAATTGTGGCAATTTGATATATTTCACATCAAACATTCATAAAGGCTTTCCTTTTACCTACACAGAACAGTTTTTCAACGATTTTACTTAACTTGATTCCTCTGTTTGTCGTGGTCAAATCTTGTAATCAAAATTTCGTCCACTTCCCGTTGTCCAATCAATTCCACATTTTGCATACGTACTCAGATCCGGTGACAATGCATGCCTGCATCAATTAATTCGCTACTTTAAAGAAATTTACATTTTGTATGGACGCCTTAATTATTTATATACATTTGTGTAGGTAAAAAACGCTGCTGTCCCTAAACTGTGGAATCGGCTCCCACAAAAAGCAGGCGCCATTGACGTACTTCTCAAAGACCGTGAGTTAAACGAAGTTGTTAATAATAAAATCGTTTTGATTTAAAGCTTTCGTGACTGCAGTAATTCATATTCTTAGCTCTTTCGGTAAAGTCACATTTTATTATTTTATTGTTTCCCTTCAACGTGACTTTACCGAAAGAGCTAAGATTATATAATAAAATCGTTGTTTTTTAAACTTTTTTTAAGGAGTTTATTTTTTTGTGTTTAGTTTGTTGTCCTTCCCCCGCACCTCCAATTAGCATGGTTGGCTACATATGGTGTGAAAGTTAAACATACACACATGTTAGGCCCATTTTGTGCATTTCGTATTTGATCCATGTGTATATATGGTATTTATGGTGTGTATTGTATGTTTTAAAAATAAATCCAGTGTTGGGTAAGTTACCTTATTGTTAGTTACTGATTGCAATGTACTTTGATTTATGTATATAGCTTTGTGAAGTAATTTCATCAGGTAACCGTCTGCATATTCAAGTTTGCTGCAGACGTTTTCAACACGACGATCATGCATAAGCAGTTTTTTTTTCAAGCCATAATGTCACTTAACTAATTTCACAGGGGTGTAATTTGGCTGGAATGACACTTCTGAGAAAACCATAATTATATACCGACACTTTTTAACCTAAAGCAACACTTAGTCATTTGGAAGGGGAAAGAGCAGTGAACATGGGCTCCAGGACTAATAGGTCTCATACCGGGGGACTTTACATTTTTACTGGACGTTTGAAAAAGAGCTTCATAGCGCATCGGATTTTTCCAGTACAAATACATTATTCTGCTTCTGAAATTTCCTCTTGGACCACTAAGCAAAACGAACATTGTGAAAGAAGACTAACATAGTATGTTTTTGTCAATGTCAATTGTAACACACTGGTGCCCTAACCTGTACCGTTTATGTTTAGGTCCTTCTGGCATAATAGACACGTGTCTCAATGGGCCCTTGCCAGGCTCAACTTGCAGAGTAGGGACAATTCCTCAGGCTTTGGGGGGGTGGGGGGGAGACACCCCTGCTAGGAAGGCAGAGGGGGAATGCTTCACCGCGTGGGGGTAGGTGCCACTGAGGGTGGCAGGGTCTCGTCATCAGCAGAGAAGAGAGCGGAGCCTCGCGTGGGAACCCTGGGCCACGTGGCACCGTCGGGTGACTCTTAACAGAAATTAACTGATCTGTAAATAAACACATCGCTCGACTGGAGTTAAATCAGCAACTGCAGATCGGAACCATTTTTTTTGCAATGGTTCATTCCGAAACATCTGTAACTAGTAGGCGACCATGGGAAACTGGTGAACACGAGTTGTAGCAAAAATAGCATGTATGTGTGATTTCCCATGCAGTTTCATTATTATTATTGCAGGTATTTGAAGTGGTGATTTTCAACTGTTTCTATACAAGTGTATACTAGCTCAACATCTTCCACCATGAAAGCCCAGGATCTCCAGACTTCTCCAGAAGGTGCCCTGCTTTGAGGCATTTGGTGAAAATGTGGATTAGTAGGAGTTTGGTGTAGGCGATTTCAGATTAGAGGGAGGCTGTGTTTTAACAACCCAATATGATGATGGTATGGCCTAACAGCACTCACAGCCATGACTGCTAGGTATCTCCTCGGTGTTCTCAGGTCGTGCACAGGAACTCTTCTTTGGCCTTGTCTATTCCTCCAGCACCTAGTGAAGATGGCGAGGCTTGACCACACTCGCCTTGAACTCGCCACACTCCCGCAGAGAGAGCTGGGCAGTCCACCCTTTATTTATTTATTTTTCTTTCATCACTTCGACCTTCCATCTTCTTCACGGACAATCAGGAACTGACCAGGTGGGGCGACCGCATGCATTCCCGGCCGGCCTGCCGTGCCGTCCCCATGCAAGGACACGGGCGAGGGGAGCGGCAGGATGGCGCAAGCTTCTCACACTTCTCCTTCCGTATTGCACGAAACCAAGTGCAATGGAGGCTGCCGCCCCCCCCCCCCCCCAATCCCAACCGCTGCCTCATCTGACACAGCCTGCTAGGGGGGTCAGCCCTCTTTTATAGGTACTGGCAGAGGATGCGTAGGGCTGGCGAGAAAAAGAGTGCTTTTGCATGACCTACAAACACCCAGCAAAGAAACACCTGACAGTTATGTCCGTGGATGCTGCCAAGGCAGAACTAAATATTACGTATTCAAACTAATGACTGCCAAAGCATCCACGCTGCTAAGTGCTTTCGCAGTCGTTCGTTAACCCAAGGCCCAATCCAACCCAGTCGCTCCTCCTGGCACACAGACCTGACGAGTGTCGACTGGTACGCGAGAGCTGGCATTAGGCACCATCACGGCGTGGTGCTCTCGGGGCTCGTAGGCTCCACATGATGGTTATTGGCAGCGGCAGCCTGACCCTCGCGGCAGCAACAGGAGCCACTGTCAGCGATGCCGCCGCTCGCTCCCATACCGTGCAGAGGCCCATCACTCAGCCGCTTGAGGAAACGAACGATTTTCTCAATGGTCGCGTCCTGGTACTCGTGAGACCACCTGCGTGGGTTTAGGGATCGCAGAAAACAGGGTGGGTCGAGGTGGGGGTGACGTTGGGCCAGGGTCGGGGTTAGAGGGCGGCAAACAAAAGCATAGAGGTCAGGCAAGTAAAGGGGTCAGCGCCGTCGCAAGACTTGCGGATCGAGGTGGACACACAGACAGCTGGTTCACGTCAGGATTTAAAAAGTACGAACTATGTGTAGTGTCATACATGTGAAAATACAACATTGACAAATATTTCATTATCGTCAGCCGCGTCTTATCCACTGCTGAATTATGGCCTCCCCATGTCATTGCCATCCCTTGTGGACTTGAGCTAATCCCATCACTCCATCCCCCTGCGAGTCACTCTCTTAAGCATCTTCCCTCTTTTGGCTGCCATGCTATGACCAGTCTCGCCACCGACCACGGTTTTTATACGCAACACAAACGCGTTTAAACATTCCATCTCCGCTGTGAGCATCCTCTCGGATGTGTTCCATTCCTTGACTACTCACTACTCGCAATGTGCCCCTGTCTACTTTTCTCAAGTCAATACAATGTCTCTAAATTGTGGTCGTTTTCTGAGCCATGGATTCGCTCGACTGCTAAGCCACCTGGTCGGTACTCTGTATAGGCATGGCTAGTAGGGCACTCAAACGGGGCTGATGCCATGCGTGCATTTGGATCGCGCTACCAGCCCACTTTCTGCCGCCGATGCTGGCTCTCTCACTTGATGCCGTTGAACTTGAGAATTCCACGCATGTCCTCGGGAAGGCTGCTGGGGTCTGGCCACTCAAACTTGTCGTACACGGGAACGATGTTCTTCTTGGACTGCAGTGCCGTCACTATTTCCTGGATGGATAAAAACACCGAGCGGTGAGAGGAACTCTCACAACTGCGCCAGGTGCACCTGACCTGTGGTCCCTGTGCAATGCGACTTCCACATCCCTCGCACGTGCAAACACAACCGTGCGCTTTCGTGTGACGTTGCCATGTGCAATCTCAAATTGAGTATTTTGAAGGCAAACGTTCAAAGTTAGACCATGACGCTGGCACATAACGGCCTACTCATGTCAGACTGCGTCCCGAGATCTACAGCAACAGACGGCGGCCATTTTAATACACCGGCAAGTACTAACCAGGGTGGCCTGCCGGATTTGAACCACGGACCTCCGAAACACCTCCGATCAGCACGGTTGGCTCCGTACGGCGCGAAAGCAGTTCAACATTTAACATACGTACATACAACAAGCGTCTTAACGCGATGCCGCAGGGCAATGTAACCACCCCGATAAGTGGCGTCGCATGCCGCCGCGGTGTGGGTTACCTTGTGTACCCAGTCCTTGTGGTCCACGTCCTGCATGCACTTATCGAGGGCCTTGGGCGTGAGCACGAGCAGGAAGCTCTGAGCGGCGCGCACGCTTGCCAGCAGCTTCTCCTCGAACTTGCCGGATGTGAGCTTCTCCACGTCCAGGAAGGCGCTGAAGCCGTGCAGCTGCAGGTGCACCTTGAGCAGGCTGCACACGGTGATGGCGCGAGCACGCATGAACACTATCCCCTCCCCCAAAATTTCCTCTATGCGGCGCTGGTAAAATATGCGTTCCAAGAAAAGGACCCACAAAGCGATACCGCATGAGACAGCTGCCTGCCGAGAGGCGCATATGGTACACGCAAAATTTCGTTCCGCGTCCGACCGCATAGCCGCGTATGAGTGAGTCAAATCGCATAATAGAGCGAATTTTGGGGAGAAATTGGTGAGCGGCATAGGTGCGAAATCGCGCAAAGCGAACCCGCATAAAGTGAGGAAAACCTGTATTGCTATCCAATTAAGTGGGACTGTCAATCAATTAAGAAACCGTGATCACCTTTGCAATTATAATACTGTTTGTATTCATATAGCTCAGGGGTCGGCAACTTGCAGCTCCGGAGCCGCATGCGGCTCTTTAAGGACTGCTTCATGACATTATTTATTAAGGACCACCGTCTCAGACTCGCATGCATCGCGGCTCTTGAAATATTTTAGTTTGACCAAAGTCGGAAAAAAATGGCTTTTCTGATTTCGGGCGCCACGGTGGCGAATTGTTAACTACCTTGCCTGGTATACAGGAGGTTGTGGAAGTCTGCATGTTCTCCCCATAGTCACGTGTATTTTTCTCCGGGTCCTTCGGTTTTTCCATGCACATTTAGAAACACGGGTTTTTGAGTAAATTGGCTGCTAGAAATGTCCACATAAGCCATTTCGTTTGGCTATCACTTGTGGTCAGGTCGCTTCTGAAAAAGAGCTATATAGCTCAGTGGGCCTTTCCTGGTAATATATATTTAAAAAAAATATATAGTTTGATTTTGGTTGCCGATCCCTTGGCATAGCTGGACTAGACTTATCAGATTTGCTCGGTTGCTCGGAGGCCCGTTCACCTGGCCATCTGCGAGCCAGTGGCGCGTCGGTAGCTGATGAACACGTCGGGCCTGTCGCCGCTTGCGGGGCTCTCGCCCCCGTTGCTCACCGGGGAGCCCACGTCCGCAGCAGCTGGTACGTTTGAAAACAGACACACAAACACGTGCACAAAGAGCGCTCCGCTTTTGCGCTTCATGCAGGCACCATCAATGGTTCCTCAAGACTCTCACTGTGATTCTCTTGCCTGAGGTCACCGTCTAAAGACGTTTGAGTAAATATGTGACCAAATGATGGGCGGCACTGATACAGATGTTTACAACCGTGCACAGGTGTCGTTCTTATTAGGACTCATCAGTATAGTATAGTCGCCAATGCTCACTGCTGGAAAGTCTACTTCTGGAAACCATATACACCTGACCCTCGGTCTACATGGGTTATTTCTGCCTAAACAAGATTTGTAGACCATCGTCTGCCCTAGCCGCTGGTATAATTTTACTTTTGGCCTTTCGACCATATTTCCACAGCAAAAAATCAATTATGGGCAACGATAGATGGCGACGATGGCGGTGGGCACGCTGCAAACATGCGATTTAGTTTTATCGCAGTTGCGTCACCGGATCGCAGGCATGCACCACCATGTCTGGCCAGGCCTCACGCACAGACACATGCACACACGCACGCTTGTTACCCCCGGCGGCGGCGGTGAGGATGGTGGCGCGGTGCACGCCGTTGTCGACGCAGCAGTCGTCGGTGAGCTGCGCATCCGTGAGCTGCGCCAGGAACGGCCGCGTGACGCCCGCGCGCAGCAGTCCGTAGGTGTAGCGGCGGAAACCGGGCCCCACGCGGTTCAGCCACTCGCACAGCTTGCTGCCGTCGCACGCGCTGTAGTCCGCGTATGTCTTCAGCTCCGCCAGCTCCCGTAGGAACCTGACACCGGCGGCGGGAGACGTCGGCAGGTTGCGGCAGTCACAAGGCCGCGTCACCCTACCGAGCGAAACTCGCCTGCAGCTTTGTACTTTTTAAGCAACTACACATTTATTTGTTACACAACGATGATCCCGTTTAGCCAGCTGGATTTATGTTAAACTTCTTTCGCACTGTATGTAGCCCACCGTGCTAATCGGAGGTGCAGGGGAAGGACAACTAAACACAAACGGCAGCTGCAGAGTGTATATAGCTTGTACTGACAAATGTATTAATTTCTCCCTATCTCAATAAAAAAATACGTTACTTTTTACGATGTAGATGCACACATTCAAATGCTCCTACATAGTTACTTTATTTTGCACTGTTTTCTACTGACGATATTTTCTTGTATTTGATGAGCATCTCCTTCACTAAAAGAGACCCACTTCTGCAAATGGCCCCTTGCCTGGTTACAAATGATAGCGATGACAAAGAACTGCAGTCGCGGTGCCTCTCCATGAGCGAAGGATTTACCTCCTCCTAGTGACGCTCTCCTTCATCGCAAAGTCACCGCTCAGGTCCTGTTCGCTCAGCAGCAACAGCAGATCCCCGTCCACTTGGAGCTCCTGAAAACAAGACGGACAGCCGTTTTCGGCTCAAGTGAGCCGAAAGCTCTTCTCAAAGTCTGCCAACACAGGCAGAGACAGGAAGGCAGTGAAGGAAAGTGACAGTGGGAGAGAGAGAGAGGGGGGGGGAGGTGCCAGCAGATGTAATAAACTCTGAATAACTGTAAAACAATGTGTCCGCACGGGATGGCACCTTGCTACTTGTCGGAGCTACGCGTGCCCGTCACAAAGGGCCTGCAAACTACAGTACTTGAGATCTGCTGCTGTCGAGGGCCATGTCGCTAAACTGAGAACGTACGTACGGTGAACGTGCTTTCCTAATCGTGACCCCGTCGTGTGGAACATTCGTACAAAACAAGAGCAAGGACAGCCGCTTCAGGCGTGACCTGAAGATGCAGGCGTGACCTGAAGATCCACAGTGCAATGAGAAGGCACCGCAAATTAGATACGCTTCAGCATGATTTAGCGTTCCTTTATGACTACAGCAGAAATCCAATAATCCCCCGTGATACGTGGGAGGACCATATCGTCGATCAGATTATGGGAGGAAATAACCGCTCTCGGAAGAGAGATCAAGATATCCGAAATACTTTAACGGGTTTCATGATCAACAGTCCTGCGAACCGCGGGTAATCCGCAAATAACAATAGTTTGCAGATTATTGGAGCACAGCTTTTTTGTAGCTCCGCTGTATTTATATTACATTAGTGTAAAAAGGGGGGCAGGCGTTAAGCGAGGGGAACGGTGGAGAATGAGAGAATGTGCGAATGGCGGCAGCAAGGATCACCTGGAACAGCGGAGCGTACTTGCAGAACCCGACCTGCCGCAGCCAAGCCTGCACGTGTGTTGGTCTCCAAGATGGCACGGTGGTGGGGAGGCGGACGGGTGGCTCCTCTCCCAGGATGGTGAGTGTGCGGTGAGCGAGACGGCATGCCGTGCCACTGGAAGAGTAGCTCACCAGCCGCTTGAGGCTCTGCACCACACCGATCTCCTGGAAGAGCTGCCGGGGTTGCACCACGACCGGCGACCAAAAACATCGCATCCGCACAGATAGATGTTTTTTTACTCATTCCGCGTGCCCCCTCTGTGACACCAGAGCCACACATTGAAATGCAGTACAATAGAGGACATCCTTGCAGCCAACAGACGTGAATAGATGGATCAGAGCAAGGCCCGATAGCTGGAATATTATTTTGTAGAAACACTGGCTCAAAAGTCAGCATTGCCAAACTAAGAGGCAACATGCGTGACAAATTCTAGATGTGAGGTCACAAACAAGGATCGATTTTTAAACAAGTTGTCTGATGTTTTCATTCAGTTTTTTTTGTCTTCTTAAATAACCTTAATTCAAATGAGTAACAGCTACTGCTTATTTTTTTATAAAATGGTGTGTATATAAATAGAGAACTTTCATCGTTCATTGCACATGTAATCGTGTGTTTTGTCGATTTTATCTATTGTTGGTTTAGTTTAATCAACCGCATAGCGTGGCAGAGCAGACGACGGCGTGCCATACTGTCACCAAGCCAAAGATTGCGCTTTTTTGAGCCAACAAAATGATTGTAGGCAATAAACAACTACAGTGCTTGTATGCAGTTGACAAGCACGGATAATCAATCAAACATTATTTAGGATAGCGCCCTTCACAATAAAATTGTCAGAGTGCTTCACAGATGGACACATTAAAACGTATACAACATTGCATCAATACAAATTTAATGACACGACACAACATTCGTTAAACTTAATAACAACAACATCAATACACTCCCCAAGTGAGTAAACAGGCCCCATACACTGACCATCAAATAGTGGCGTCAACCTGACAGGCAGATCAACCCATAGAGATTTGTATCAAACCGAAGAGATGGGTCTTCAGGAACCGTTTAAATGTGCACGGACTACCAGCTTCCCTTATGTCAACGGGGAGGTTGTTCCACAACCTGGGAGCCAGACAATGGAATGAGCGCCCTCCCGAGGTAACACATCTCAACCGGGGCGTCACTAGAAGGCTCAGGATCTACAACTTCTGGAAGGAACATTTCTCTCCAAAAGAACAGAGAAATAAACAGGACCTGTGCCGTCCCAAGACTTTATATGTTAACAGCAGGATTTTAAACGTGATCCGGAGGTGGATGAGATTATACATCAGTTCCACCCCCCCACCCTCCCCCCCCAAAGCATGTTAATTTTCGTGCAACAAATATTACCTGCTGTGGTTTAGCGAATACGCTTCTCAGCGACCACAGACGACATCAGACTGTGATGGACGAGCGGAACGGAGAGTAATCAACAACGCTCGCAGGCGCTACCCCTCGCCAGCGCCAATGCAACAAACACAGCACGACATCCGCGCTCAATTCCGTCACCCTCAGCTGCTGCAGCTACTGCAGTGCTCACAGTGATGGCAACTACGGCTGATAATGATGTAAGCTGTATTCCACTGGCTCAACAATAGGAATCGCATTTTTTGTATATTAGTCTGTTACTTTTAAACGTCCACCGTGGAAATCGAGCGATGAAATCAGCTCCCGTGCAGGTGCTGGGCGGATTGTTACATCGCAGCACCATCGTGAGGGTTAATAGCTGCTTGGGAGAGGCCTTCACCCGGCAGTGGATTCAGGTGGATGATGAATAACGTTGCCTTCCGAGTCACACGAGGTAACGCCATAAGGTGCATGATGCGACGTGGCACGCCTGCCGATGGCGTCACACGACGATGTTGTTGGGGGACGTGCGTATGGCGTGCCTGACGTCGCCGCTCGAGCTGAAATTACTTTTCTATTCAGCATTGTTATATTTTTTAAGCGCTACCATTGTAAGCAATAATTCTATCATCAATTTGGTCGATTTGCAAACAGGGTGAATCTTTCATAGCAATACGACTGTACACAGAAACACGTCATTCGCGTTGGATCATCTTCACGAGATCATCGTGACTTCATGTTGCGAACCGAGACAGACGGACAGACGGGCAGAGAAAATGCATTAACGCTTTTAACCTTAGCTGGTGAACCTTAAACACAGGTCTCATCTCAATGTTACGCACCTAGGGTGTGCATCCCAAGCTGTCCAACAAGTGGGTTGAGCTTCATAATGATGAAAAGCATGAGAGTTATGTACAGTAAGGAGCTCTAGCGTAGTCAACGCACTGACATGTTGAGTTTATTTGATTTGTTGCATGGATGAACCCATTTAACTATATTACAAGGGAGATCCGAGATACTCGTATTCGCGGGTATGACAGTGAAACTGCAGTGACCACAACATTAGGCGCACGGCACGCGGCCACGACACGCGCAGCAATCGCAAGGGCTAGTTGCTCTGCGGCTTGCGTCGGAACAGCTCGGGCGACGGCACTGCTCACCTCGCCATGCTGCTGCTGCGTCTTGATCATGGCCTCCACGCAGAAGTAGAACGCGGCGACGCACTGCGGCTCCACGCGCGAGCTGTCTAGCAGCGGCAGTAGCTGCTGCAAGTACTGAACGGTGCGGCCCTGCATGTCGTCGCGCGAGGTCAGCAGCTCCTGCGCGTGCTTCTCCGGGTCCAGTGAGGCGATAAAGGGCTCCACGAGCTCCAGCGTGCCCGAACTCAGCACCTGGATTGGCCCACGGAGACATCAACCCCCCCACCTTCCGCAAATCGACCCCCCCATGGCCACCAACCCCCAAGTGTGGTGGCCGTCGACCCACCACGGGACTGCACCGCATCCTGCCCATCGTCACCGCCACGCGCTCAGTGCTTAACACGCGGCTAGGGAAGACAGCTCTAATTTGACAATATTTCAGATTGAAATGTTATTACTTTCGCTCCTGCATTCTTAGCTCATGAAACACACGAGCGCGATGTGATTGGGATCGCCGTACAAAAATCACCTTTGTTAGCCGCCATACTATTTGTCCCCTTTTTTAATGAAGTGCTTTATATGAACACTTTTAATCGGCAATTCCTGAATTGCTATTCAAGCCGAGAGATTTTATTCTCCGAGAGCACGGCCAAGATATTACTGGCTCTCATTACGCTCCACATTAACTGCAGTCGAGCTCGTAGTTATGAAGCCTGTCAAGGTAAATGAACGCGAAACTAAAAACAATGGACAATGCATCTGAAGGCAGCAACAATAAATTAGGAAATTAAGAAAAAATTACCAACAAATTACTCAATTGCTATCACACGTAGCAATCATCGGACCAAACTGGCAGTCTAATGACCACTTGCAGGCCAATGCCGAGTCACCATGTGCCAGAGCACAGGGACAGCTGCCACTGGCGGTGGTCTTCGAAATATTTTAAATGAGGTGTTATACGGAAGGCGCGTTTGAATTGCCGAGTCATTTCAGCGCCGTATAAAATGCAAAGGTAAGCTTTGCTGGGTAAAAAAGAATAACAAGAGTAAATAAAACCATAACTAATAAATACGCACGAGCGACTCGACGCACCTTTTGCTGAACCTCCTTGTTGTTGACGAGCACGGCGATGGCGAGGCTCGCCGACAGACGCACGCGCCTGTCGGCGCTGAACACCAGCGGGAAGAGCCACTCGGCCGCCTTCTTGTCCACCATGCGCCGGTGGTTGTCGGGCCCGCCGTACATGGCGCAGTTGGCGATGGCGGCGGCGCAGTCGCGCAGGACGTCCACGTCCAACAAGCGGCACCAGAAGAGCACGGCGTCCAGGCCGCCCTCGCACACCAGCAGCGAGCACGTCTCCTCCGAGTTCTTGAACATGTGCTGCAGGATGGCGGCGGTGGCGCGCACCGTGCGCGTGTCCTCGCGCTCCTTGGCCAGGCCCAGCACGGCGCCGAGCCCAAAGCGCGCAATCCACTCCCTGTCGCACGTCCCCGCAACCCAAGGGCAGGCACCAGCAGAGGCAGCATTAGGGTCAGCGGCACCATCACCATAGGAATTAGCTACACCATCATCATCAGTATGATCAGCAGCACCATCATAATTAGTAAGATCAGCTGCACCATCACCATAAGAATCAGCTGCAACACCATCAGTATAAATCAACAGCACCATCATCAGTAAGATCAGCAAAACCATCCATCAGTAGGATCAATAGCACCAAATAGGCAGCCCTTGTTTCGTTTAATGAGTCATGAAGTGCATCGAGGCAGTGAGGAATCATTCACGCTAACAAGGCCTGCAACTGGTCGAGCAAAGTATTGAGCATTACTTTTTGCTACAAAATGATTGTCACACATCCATCAGCGTTGCATAAACCTCGTACCTCCATCTGTCTCCTATATCTTCCATATCCTTGTTTCAGCTGCTGCTGAGACCCGCATCCGTGGTCTCATCACACCCTGACTCAATTACTGTAACTCTCTCTGCTATGATCTTCCCAAATCCTTCACCTCCAAAATTCAGATCATCCCAAATGGTAACTTAAAATGTAGGTTTTTTAAAAAAATTCATATGTTTTTGGGTAAGGCTACATGGTAGTTTTATGCCAAAATCCTTGTAATTGTCACATTTACTAAGAATATTTTATTCGTGTAAAATGTACTGAGCAATAAAGCTCCTCACTGGTGGCTTGAGACTTTTCAAGACTGTCGCACATTGTTGCAAACAACTGTTACACTTTGTTGACTGGTGTTAAACCTAACTTTGATGTTATGTTTGTTTAGGATCCTAGCAATTTGACCCGTGGTGCCTGCAGTTAAGTTTCATAGATGTAGTTTTATAGCTTTAACTATACCGTTAATGATTCGGAGGCATCAATCTAGATGCCCTTGTAGTCTGTTGTTGGCCTATAGCTGTTATATTTTATGCTCGTTTGACATGTTACATTTCCACCTCTATGTGCTCTGGATGGGCCACTCTTGCTCGGTGCATAAGTATCTTGATGAGGATGTTCTTCTGCTGTGGATGGTGGTGTGACTTCTCATGTAGGTAAACACTAAATGGTGCTACAAGACTTCTCACCCACACCCGTAAATCGTGACCACATTACCCCGATATTCCGATCCTGCCACTGGCTTCCAATTCAGGCCTGGCTCAATTGTATGATCGCCCTTGGAATCTTAAAGATTGCCTATGGACTAGCCCTTATCTACCTCTTCTCACTCTACACCTCTTCACACTCTCCGCTACAGCAACCAAGGGATCTATTATAGTTTCAAGTGAACCTTTATTCTGTGGGAAGTCGTTCTTGCTCTGCTGCTCTTGCAGTTTAGAACTTCCCCACCCCAGCTTTCCATCCTGCCAACTCCCTGCTGTCATTGAAGTCCAAGTGTAAGAACTTCCTGTTCTTCTCAGCTGAAAAAATACATACAGTATGTGTGACTTTTTTTTCCTTCCAATGCACATGGCTGACTGTATTTACAGTCTTGAGATACGGTTACATTTATACACTATACTTTATTGTACAGTATGCTTCCAATTATGGACGTATTCCAAGCATTGGCCCTGGCGAGGCCACTTGCTGACAATACGCTTGGCTGGTTTTAGAATCCCATTATTCCTCGTTGGCCTTGTGCCTTTTCTAGTACAGTATAGTGTAGCTTAAATTCCCGTGCGCCCATGGCCTGGTTCCAACAATCACTCCTGACATTATTTAACAGTTTTATACTTTCACTCAACCTCAGTTGTAAAACAAATTTGGCGAGCCAGTCCAGTACACGAGCAGATTGTTCTCGCTAACAATGATTAAATCGCTCACAATTAGAAACGGATAGTGCATTACGCAGCAGATTTTTTTTTGTATCTGTAGATAAACAATTCCACAGCAAGTAAGCTATTAATAAGAGAAGCGTCAACTATTAATGTTTAAAATTATTGCACCGCTATCGCATTGGCAGGCAAAACGTCCCGGCTTAGAGGGCAAGCAATGGAATGTGCAGCTGCTGCTATGATGGGTTTGTAGTTTTATTTTATCACTGACTCACAGGCCGGCGTGTCTGACAGTGCAGGTGACTGTGGATGACGTTAAACTCGACCGCGAACCAAGCCACTGCGCTGCCTGCCTTTATGGGTGCACCAACCTCACAATGAGAAAGTGGCCAACACCAACCGTAAACATCCTTGCTTTTCAGAAACCATCATGACATGGCCTATTTAATCACTGGCCACGAGTAACTCGGTCCAAATTCATAGCTGAACCACGGCCAAGTTCTACAATGCTCATTAGTGAGGCGCGCCGTCGTAGTTATTATACAGAGCTAGGACAACGGCCACCAACACAGATTTGTCAAGTACTGTCCTCTGTTTAATTCATCCAAGGAACTGGCAAACAAGTCCCACACTCCCAGTTAACCTCGCACTCCCCTCGTTATCACTCACACACTCCTAATCAGGGGGTTGGTTTTCATGTGCGGTTTGGGTGCACAAAAAAAACATTTGAAATCAGTTACGGTTCAATCGGTCCAAATGGGTTTGAAAGGTTCAGTTCTGGCTTATTGTTTGTGTAAAGTGGTTTGAACCACTTAACATTTGCACATTTGGCCTAAATTAGCTAAATTAACACCTTCCGTGTAGCTTACATTGCAGGCTACACGGGAGGTCTTTGTTTAGCAATTTTTTTCCATTTCTTAGAGAAATCTGTTTGAATTGCTTCAAAAGGGCGTGCTGCCCTCTTTCTCCCAGCCCTTGACGCAAGTGGCCATGTTGTTTCCATCGTGGCACCGCGCCTCAAGACGTCAACGTGCGAGCATGCACCTGTTGTCGGTCGTAAGGACCTGCTGCAGAAGCTCGGCCGCCCCGGACCTCACGTGAGGCCTGCATGAAGCGAGCAGCGATAGCAGCAGCTCGAGTCCCCCCTGAAGCCGCAGTGTGGAGCACAGCTCCGTGGCCACCTCGCGGCCCACCACGGGCGTGGCCCACGCCTCCTGCAACGTGGCCTCCAGCCCGGCCAAGGTGGCCACCTCCTCCTCTGCCACCTCCTGCCTCGGCCGCCCGTCGCTCTCTCCCACCGGGGAGTCGGGCGTCGCCAGCTCCTTCAGACGCCGCACGCCGTCGACGAGCCGCGGCAAGAGTCGCTCCAGCTCCTGGCGGCCATCATCGGCGTGCTGGGAATCCGGGTCAGGCGCCTGCATGGCGGACGGTGCTGGGCTGCAGTGCGGGGAGCTTTGCTCGCGAAGCTGCTGGTGGTCGGGAGGAGGCGTGCGGGATGAGGACGTGGGCCAGCAGGAGCACAGCTTCGTGTGCGAGGACCGGCCCGACTTCTTCATCTGTGGCAGGGTTGCCTCGTTGCAGTCGGGGGCCGCGTGGCCCAGTGGTCAGCACACCCGCACAGAGCCAGTTCACACAGGAGTGACGGTTCAATTTCAGCCACGGGTGACAGGTTATTTCTGTGGGGAAATGATGAGGTGGATGTTATATTGCCAGTGCAAGCCACTGCCCTCATGAATAATATCGAAAATACCAGGTATAAAATAATGCAGCTTCAATTGTCAAACTCGAGTTTAATCACGTGTGAACTCAAGAGACAAGGACAGTCTCAATTGCAAGAGTGACATGTAGTTGCTTAATTATTATTTCCTACTTTAAAAAGTAATTGGAAAACAGCTTCCCTCATTGTGTCAGTCATGAGGGTTGTTTGATCATCTCACCACACTGGCCAGTGCAGGTTTGTGAAGAAGAGGCGGTGCAGAACCACTTCAGATTTCACTTGCCACTAATGTTGCCAGGAATAAAATGCTGCTCATCAGGTTCATAGCGAATTGTGCTAATCACTGCACCACCACTCCCCCCGACAAATTGAAGCCATGTCCATCTTCCACAGCCCACTGAATCCACTAAACAGCAGACGCAACCCCAAACACATTGCTCTTGTACAGGAGATGTACTGTCTGCTTATTCGCATATTCTCAACAACGACGCCAATGATTATATTCCTGCTATTGTATTATTAAAATGTGCGTCAAACTAGACCCATGCCTTAGAGAGCAGGACCTTGCCTATAACCTCTGCCAGTTTACAGCATTGATTCAAGCAAGTATGACTACTGATGAGACATTGTATATCGGTCCACAGCGTTTTCACGTACTGTATATGAATTAATGCTGCTTAGCACGTGCACTCCCAGAAGACCGTGGGTCTGATGGTTATGTAAAAATTCGGTACAGTACTTTCATTTTGTTTTTACGTGGAGACAGAAATCCGGAGACATTCAAACCTGTAAAACCATACGGTTCACCCGTATTCTTGTACAGGGAAATTGAGTTTCCAGGTTCAGACGGCGTAGAGCCATTTCAATACGGGCAAACATTTTGATGGGACTTTGTAGGATGAATGTTGAGACTTATAAGGGCACGGGGTGACCAATAAGGTCTGAATTGGTCTGTAATAAGGTCGGCACTGATAAGGGTTCGACAGGTATGGACATTATTTTATTACTGATATTCTGCACAATGATGCTAATTATTACTTTATCTTGTACATGTGGGCCAACACGAATGTTTACGTTGTTTGTAGACGCCGTGACATGTCTCGGACCGTGTTCATGAACATAAGACAGATCTGAAACACGGTAGAACCAATACCTCGGCCGTGGCTGATCATTGCTTTAATGCGGTGGGCTCACACGAAATTGATTTCTCTAAGACGAAGGTACTTTGCAAACCCACTGGCTATCAACAAAGATTCGTTCATGAAGCCATCCATATATAGACACAGACACAATTTCAATCGAGAAGATAGGTATAAACTGAGCAATCATTGGAAGGACGTTATCAACCAGTTTAAGTCATAACTGGCTGTGATGTTCCCATCCTACCACCTTCCGATGTTAGTTGCTATTTTCGGCTCTATGATGTTTCATTAACAGGTTAAATTTCTCACCCTAACACAACCACTTTGCTCACCGAGCTCGAGGTTTTTGCTTTGGGATCTTCCTATTAACATGCTAATCTCTCACATTAACATGCTAATCTCTCACATTAACATAGCCACCTCAAGGCACCGGCCGTGGAGGCCGCTCAACGATCTCACATTATCATGCTAATTTTTTACTGGGCAGCCCTTTGATTGGTGGGAAAACCCACCACCGTCGCGGTCGCTGCCCACCACTTACATTACCATTGGCTGCTGACATTTGGGCTACGCCCATTTCAAACCTTTATAAACCGTTGTCTTTGGAAGCTAACTCCCCCTTTTCCTGATGACGACCGCTTGTGTTGCGATCGAAACGTCGTAGTTTTTTTGTTATTTTCTTTGAACCTATCTACGTGACTTTACCGAAAGACCCAAAGAATATAAGTAATAATTATTCGTGCCGTTGTCGACACTATAAGTCGCTAAATACATAAGCACACACCACGCTTCCTTCACGTAACTATCCCTTCACATACAAAAAAAATACAACGGAATCTTTTACAAATCCTATAAGTCAAACAAAAGGTATTTTGGGAGTGCATAATTTCAGCAGCATTGGTTTACGAAAAGCAAACTCTGGGCCAGTTTGGACATTTGGTGTTTTATCAATGGGGGCAGGCTCGCTTGAACCAGAGTTTGTGAACTACCAGAGAGGCGTTAATAAGGGACCCTTCTCTGTTAGTCGTGGGTTCGCCGCAAACACATGACATAATAATGACAAACCTCGTTGTGCAGAATATAAGTAATAAAATACAGTCAATTAGCATACAATTCGCCTCCTTTACACATTCAAGCAGGTCTGACTGTGCTGATAAGACGATGGCTGTCAAAATCGGTCCACAGTTTGGGGGCCGTTCATAAATGACGTCACGCACCTAGGGGGGGTCAGACATTTGTGACGATGTGTGACGAGGGGAGGGGGGGTTTGAGAAATGTGACGTCATATCAAATTTCGCAACTTTAAATAAATATAGACAACACGTTCTACTTAATTAAATAGACTTTTTGATAAATATTTTCTCCTACAACATCAGAGTGCAGCGACACATTAAATACGCACTACAATGACAATAGTTTAAAGCGATTTGAAGCATGTTTTATATTTTTGGGGGGGGGGGGGGCAGAGCTTTGTGACGTCATATTTGAAGGGGGTCTGATTTTTGTAACGCCGTGTGACGAAGGGGGGGGGGTCAAAAATCGTCCAAAATCGCGTGACGTCATTTATGGACGACCCCCTGCCTGTGTCGAATAATAAGTGTTCTCCTGAAATCCTGCACTCCCACAAGATCGTGTGGCTGGCTACCAAGGCCGGCGACCGTACAACCCGAGTTCGATTCCAGGCCACGACGGCTAACATCAGTGGCGAGCGACAACACCTGGACTTGTCCCTGGGGTCACCTGGACTTGTCCCTGGGGTCACCTGGACTTGTCCCTGGGGTCACCTGGACTTGTCCCTGGGGTCACCTGGACTTGTCCCTGGGGTCACCTGGACTTGTCCCCTGGGGTACCTTCCCCGCCGACTCCCTTCACCAATCCGCCCTCGCCCAGAGTGGTGAAGTATGGTCAAACCCCCCCCCCCCCCCCGCGTGAGCGACCTTCATCCAGCAGTGGATTGACAAAGGCCTGTGAACTATTGCTCGCAAGTTGCAGGTTCGCGCGCGTTGCGTTAGGGTGATGCTCGCAGGCATCACCTATCCCTCGAACGTTGCAACTTATAACGGCGCAAATATAACGGAGTTAACATCGGCCGGATCAATAATCGATCTTCTGGCGTAAGTAACCGGGGCTGAATTTTGATTTAAAGCTTTCGTGACTGCGGGGATTCATATTCTTGGTTCTTTCGGTAAAGTCACCACGTAGAAGGGAAACAATAAAATAATAAAAAATATAAAACAAAAAAATAATAAAAATATAAAACAATAAAATTCTCACGACGTTTCGACCGCAACACAAGAAGCAATCATCATCAGATGTGAAAGCCACAGCAAGAAAATTTTAAAATAAAAAACCGCCACTTTTTTCAAATTTTCTTGCTGTGGTTTTCACACCTGATGATGATTGCTTCTTGTGTTGCAGTCGAAACGTCGTGAGAATTTTATTGTTTTATATTTTTATTATTTGATTGTTTCCCTTCTACGTGGTGACTTTACCGAAAGAACCAAGGCTATATAACCGGGGCTGGTTTACGCTCAAAAGCATTCGTAACGACGCAGAAATCTTCACAGCGGCGACGGTACAAGGATCGTCGCCGCTTAAAACAATTCCAAAGGAGGCGGCATCAGACGGAAACAAACAAGCACAACGTATCCAATGATGTTGATGATGATGGAGATGATGATGTTAGATAGTTAGAGAGCGGCTCTTCTTACCGTTACCGCCCGCAGCACTGCGGCCGCGAAGGATGTACTGTAGCGAGACGTCATGGCTCCGGGCTATAAATAGCCACACAAGGAGAGAGAGAGAGGTGCCCCCCCCCCCTTTCCTTTGACACTTCACTTGTGCAGCTTAACCCAGAGACAAAATTTACCTCCACCAGCCAGGTCCTGGCCAGCAGGTGGGGTTGGTGAGCCGGGACACGAACCGCACACTGCCGCCCCTCCCCCCACGCCTTCCCGGTATTAAACCACAACAAGGGGTCGGCAATCAAACTCATAAGAAGATTTAAAAAAATATTCGAATTCGGCATACTTTAGGTATTAAAATAAAACAATATTTTCAAGAGCCGCAATGCACCGCGGTGGTGAATACGAAACCGGTGGACTTAAATAAATAACGGTTACGATGCAGTCCTTAATGAGACGCAGGTTGCTGACCACTGCCCATGGTGAACTGGACTCCCATGGTAAACTGGACTTCCATGGTGAACTGACTTCCATGGTGAACTGGACCCCCATGGTGAACTGGACTCCCATAGTAAACTGGACTTCCATGGTGAACTGGACTTCCATGGTGAACTGGACTCCCATGGTGAACTGGATTCGATGGTGAGCTGGACTCCCATGGTGAACTGGACTCCCATGGTGAACTGGACTCCCATGGTGAACTGGACCCCCATGGTGAACTGATTTCCACGGTGAACTGGATTCGATGGTGAACTGGACTCCCATGGTGAACTGGACTTCCATGGTGAACTGGACTTCGATGGTAAACTGACTTCCACGGTGAACTGGACTCCCATAGTAAACTGGACTCCCATGGTGAACTGGACTCCCATGGTGAACTGGACTTCCATGGTAAACTGGATTTCGATGGTAAACTGACTTCCACGGTGAACTGGATTCGATGGTGAGCTGGACTCCCATGGTGAACTGGACTTCCATGGTGAACTGGACTCCCATGGTCAACTGGACTTCCATGGTGAACTGGGCTTCCATGGTGAACTGGACTTCGATGGTCAGCTACACTCCCATGGTGAACTGGGCTTCCATGGTGAACTGGACTCCCATGGTGAACTGGACTTCGATGGTAAAATGACTTCCACGGTGAACTGGACTCCCATAGTAAACTGGACTCCCATGGTAAACTGGATTTCCATGGTAAACTGGACTTCCATGGTAATCTGACTTCCACGGTGAACTGGATTCGATGGTGAGCTGGACTCCCATGGTGAACTGGATTCGATGGTGAGCTGGACTCCCATGGTGAACTGGACTCCCATGGTGAACTGACTTCCACGGTGAACTGGATTCGATGGTGAACTGGACTCCCATAGTAAACTGGACTCCCATGGTGAACTGAACTTCCATGGTGAACTGACTTCCATGGTGAACTGGACTTCCACAGTAAACTTGACTCCCATCAGACGACAAACCAGATTTGGATGACATTAGTCGCGAAAGCCTACATGTTATAAATCGTCCATAATACAAGGAGATGGGGGGGGGGTGTTGTTAGTTCGCGTAAACATAAATGTGTCGTTAAACCCATCCACCACCCAAGAACACGGCCAATTAGTAAAGGGTTTGTCACGAAATAACAGCGAATTCTCTCCCCTTTCCACACCCCACCACGTGGCGTGTCCGCACCCACCACCACCACCAGCGTCACTGCCGCTCTGTGGCCCTCTGATCCCCCCCCCCTCTCTCTCCCCGGCTGTTCCCTTGCAACCCTTGCTCCCCCCTGCCCCACGTTCGCACACGACGACACGACGGGCACTCCGGCAGGCCCAGCTTAAAGCAAGGTCGTCAGCCAGCCCAGCCAAGGCCAGCCCAGCCAGCCAGTCAGTCAGCCCAGCCCGTTCAGTCAGCCAGCCCAGCCCAGTCAGTCAGCCAGCCCAGCCCAGCCAGCCCAGCCCAGTCAGTCAGCCAGCCCAGCCCAGCCAGCACAGTTAGCCCAGCCCAGTCAGCCAGCCTAGCCAGCCAGCCCAGCTAGCCCAGTCAGTCAGCCAGCCCAGTCAGTCAGCCAGCCCAGCCCAGTCAGTCAGTCAGTCAGCCCAGCCCAGCCAGCCCAGCCCAGCCAGCTAGCCAGCCATGCCTTTCATCGAGATCGCCACCAACCTGAAGCCGGAGACCTTCACGGAGTCTCTGCTCAAGAAGTTCGCGGCGGAGGCGGCCGTCGCGCTTAGCAAACCGCCCGAGGTGAGTTGCGTTGCTTCCTCACCGCCCCCCCCTCCTCCTCGTCGTCCGTCGGCACCACGAACAACCAGCCGATGTGCCTCCTCTCGTGTCCCACACCACCCCCACTCGGTTGTCCACCCGCCCTGATGGCCTTCTCCATTTGTCTTTCCTCTGTGGAGAGGGGGGCTTCATTGTCCACCGGCTTAACGCGTCGACTTGTACTGTACAAAGATCCCCAACACCCTCCTTCCCTCCCTCCCGTGTATCCTTTACAGACTGTTAGGGGCAAGTGCTGTTAGCGAGTAGCACCTATGAAGGCCGGCACGGTGCACGAGGTGGGTCGGTGGGTGTCCAACACCACGCCCGGCCGCCTTTGTCTCCCCAGTGGAGATTTTGTTGTGCACACACACCGCACCAGGTACTCATTTGAGGCTGATGACATTGAGAGCTCGGGGTGAGCAGCGACATAATGGAACCTCTCTTTGCCAGTATTAAAATATAATAGGTTTTTTTACCATTTCTGGAAATGTCCTGATAGTGGCATTGTCTTTGTGCTGTTCGCCTTTAGGCGTCCTCTGGTCTAACACTTTGAGACTAGGCTCTAAAGAAAGCTGTGTCTGGTGTGGAGCAGTCAGTTTCAAAGACAATGCCATCATATACTGTCAGAGCGTGGTTGTTTTATTTGCATGTTCATCACGAGAATAAGAACGATTGCGGGGATGGTGGTTTGCCAAATGAACTTTAATCCAGGAGCTACCACGTGTCGTTAAACTTATGGAATCACTCACTCACTATGAATGGGACAAACACAGAGGTTTATTATAATTTCAACTCAAAGCAGATGTTGTGTGTGTATATATACTGTTATTTAAATTGATTGTCCAAATAATGAAAGTTTGCAATGCTGCTTTTCCGTATTTACTGGAATACAGTACAGCTCACAGTCATGAGAATAACATGAAAGTGAAATGTAGTGGCATCAGCCTTTTGTGTTATCTCTCTTGGGAATCTGAATGTTTTATACTGGTAGGAACGAAGTTGTAAACTGAGTGTACCAGCCTGCAATAGATTAATGTGTCCGTCCGTCCCCTTTCAATACTTTAACGAAGTGAAATCTCGTGCTGTTGGGGTGTAAAAATAAAATTGCGCAAAATTCCAATGTTCCTACCAGCCCACCACGCTTTTATTTAACTCACTCTGTTGTTGTATCCTCAAATCTTGTAACTCAATTTTAAACCACTTCCCAATGTGGTCTCGACTGCAAACTTGGTATGCTTATGTCATACTGATGACAATACTATATTCTATCATTAAAAAAATATTTAATGTATATTTTTAAACATTCTTTTTTATATATTATGTTTCGGCTTGCCTCTCCTTGTCTTACACGCTTTTTATTGTATTTAACTCACTCTGTTGTTGTTGTATCCTCAAATCTTGTAACTCAATTTTAACCCACTTCACAATGTGGTCTCGACTGCAAACTTGGTATGCTTATGTCATACTGATGACAATACTATATTCTATCATAATAAATAAAATAAAAATATTTTAACCATTCTTTTTTTATGTTATGTTTCGGCTTGGGTTTTATTGTCCACGCTCAACTGACGTTGGCTGTAAATCACCACGGTCCATTACGTTGTGGCAAGCTTCGGGGCCTCTTCCTAGAGTCGTGGAGTTCTGCCATTACTAGTACGGTACATTTCATTAAAGCGTGTTTTGTTTTAAAGTTTTTTTTTAATATTGCGTATTATTGATATATCAGAGAAAATACTTAAGAATGTTTTTTTTTCTCTTCCTAATGTAGGCCCCGATTTAAAAGTCTTGACGTTTTCGGAAAGGCCCCAGTGAAGTTGCTCGAGCCACCGCTGGTGAAATTGCCAACGCCACAATGTTTTAATCACGGTTCGACATGATGTTGAAAATGTGCACATTCTGTGTGTTTAAACGTACAGTACACGTGCTTTCCATTTATGTTTTTGAGGCTTACATGCATGTGGACATGAATGCACATAAGCAATGCTCTCCATGCATTTGTGTGGAAACTGATAGCCATCTCAACCAATGCCAGGGCCACCCCTATGTGTACTCTGCCAAAAACTGATTATGAGGAAAAGGTGCACTTAGCAGGTGCTCGCGAACACACATATGTCAATCCACACGGTTTACCCGTATTCTTGTGCAGGGAAATTAAGTTTTAAGGTCCATACGGCGTACAGCCGTTTGAATACGGGCAAAAAACATTTTTTGTCTATTCGTGTTTCTCCTTTGTGATGGAACTTTTGTAGGATGAACGTTGAGATTTATAAAGGCACGGGGTGACCAATAAGGTCTGAATTGGTCTGTAATATGAGGCCAGGCACGGATAAGGGCATTACAAGTATGCGAACAACACTTCCCAGTAAACATGGAACGTTGTTCCAACGTAGGGCCAATGTTGGTGGTCCAACAGTTCCAACCACGTGGCCCAACGTTGTATGTTGACTTGGGTTTCTGTCACGCCTGCAAAGTGAAACGGGGTGTACGTGTGCGCGTATGTCTCGCAGAGGATCAACATCGCGGTGCATGCGGGGCAGCTCCTGTACCAGGCCCTCTCAAGCGCCCCGTGCGTACACGTCAAGGTGTCTGCCATCGCGGTCGTGGGCTCAGCGGAGCAAAACCGTGAGCACAGCGCCCGTCTCACAGACTTCCTCTCCACCGAGCTGGGCCTCCCCAAGGACCGGTGAGCTCCGTTCAAACGTTGTTTACATGGCCGGGCATGCAGCTCGGACTGAGGCCCGTGGCAATGGCCTTGTGTGTGAGCAGTGGGATGGAGTGAGTGAGCAAATGTGTCTTGTGCCTGTCGACTATTTTCACAGGATCCTTCTGACGTTTCACCCGCTGGAGAGCTGGCAGGTGGGCAAGATGGGTACTGTCATGACCTTCCTGTGAAACTCTGCACACGACTGGCGTAGCTCAGAGAACCCGGTGCTGATTGTGCGTGCATGAATGAACCAGATGTCACATGGTTGCACCAAATGATGCGTGTCATGTGGAAAAACAAAACACTATCCGATTTGTAAAAGTGCTTTAACATTATTCCTTCCCCTACTTGCACCTGTTCACTCTCTACCTAGTCTTGATTGTAACTGCTAGTCTCAAATGTTGCATTTCCCTGCTATCTGGCAGCTTGGAGTTGGCGATAAAATTCCAGATATGTTTCATGCAGCATGAACTGTGTTGTTTGTGGGATCATATTTTTGGAGCACACCCCCCAGCTCTGATCTTTGGACTGTAGCAAATATGCTTAAATCACTCAACTGATTCACATCTGCTTCTGCTTGCTTACTTGACAAACTCACTGGTGTATTTATCTGGAGCCAAGTATAGGTCAGTGGTTAGTTTATAAAAACACCTTTTGAATGTTTCTATTATATAACATTTAGTGAAGCTAAGGGACAATTTAGGTAACTTTGTTTTATTTAGCTGACCACAGGATCGGGTCACAATATGAGGCCTTCGTGTGCCTTGGCCAGACAGCATTTATCAAAAATCAACACATTCGTCAATACGACTTTAACAAAAGTCAATAATTGCAATTCTGCCGTGATTCATTATCAGGATTTGGGTTATAACAGACCACACTGAGCTGCTTCTGGAAATAAAATGAATGAACTTAAATAAAACATTAGCAAAAACTGGAACTAAAAAGCACCATTTATCGTAATTAGATCTAATAATGCTCTCTGTGCATGAAAGCATAATTGAAAGGGTTTGGTCTCTCTCACGGGTGCTGCTGGACCACAGGTTGTGATCAAGCAGATGTCTATGTTGATCAATATTAAATATGGAATTATTATGAAAGTCATGGAAATGTAATCGAAAATATTTCTCTTCTTTGGTTCTTTCGGTAAAGTCACGTAGAATGAGAATAAAATAATAAAATAAAACAATAAAATTATCACGACGTTTCGGCCACAACACAAGTGGCCTTCTTCAGGTGAAAGGAACAAACCTGTCGGGACAGGTGAAAAAGGCCACTGGCCGAAACGTCGTGAGAATTTTATTGTTTTATTTTATTCTTTTATTCTCATTCTACGTGACATTACTGAAAGAACCAAAGAAGATGAATCCTTGCAGTCACGAAAGCTTTAAATGGAAAATATTTCTAATTAGAAACAAAAAACATTTCAAAAAAATACAAAAGTAAAAAACACTGCAGTTACTGGTGATCTTGCCTTGATGTCTGAGAACAGTAGTACGTAATAAATTAACTGATGCTGACATGCCTTGGTACACAAAGATAGGTGCACGCATTGATTAGCACTTATTTATATATCTCAGAATTGCATTCTTCATTGTTGTGCTTTAGTCGTCAAATGTTGACATCTGCATAAAAATGATCTTTGAAATAAATGTAATTTGAACACATGATGGAGTGGAATTTCTGCGTATCTCTGTGTGTTTGCTGCGCTGGCCTTTGTAGGTGCTCGTTAACAAAATTTGCCACAGAAAGCGACTTGCTATGAGGAAGGAATGTTGCCTGGAATATTTTGCATTGTATATTTTTCCTTTTATGCCAGTGTTGTTGGTTTATTTTAGTGTTTTGTTATTTGACTCAGAGGGCACCTGCATGTGGTCTTTAAATCTATTTCATATTTAAACTTTTTTGGTATGCACTTTGAACAGAATGCACAGTGGTGGAGAACGAGTACAGTATACAGTTTCACGTGTCAGACAAGGCGATGCATAATGTACTGCTGCATTTAAGGATATCGTCACATCGTACATATGCACCGCACTCGCGTGAACATGTTATAATTGTGGTCTGTGCAAAGACATTAATTTTCAGATTGCAATAAAATTCAGTAACGAATAGCTATGATCATATATCACAAATACCAACTCGAACACTGAAGCCCATTACAAATACTGTATCGGTAAGCTATTCAGCATCCTCTGTATCTCCCTCCATGGATGTAAATCATGTTTGATCACATTTTATTTTTACTTGCGATACATGCGTGCATTAACTAGTGCGTGTTGGAATGGTTTCCAATTATGCATTTTTTTTTTAAGATAATGAACAGAATGAATTAGAACATAAACAAGACGGTGCAAATGAGACAGAATTTAAGCTCCCCATGAAGCTATCCATTGAAACTGTTCCCATGCCATCCATCACACCACTGCCCACCGCCACCACCACCAGTTTATGCATTTTTTCCGCACTCCGTTCTCCCCGACTTGTCTCATAGAAACTCAGCAGGACCTTGCACCGTAGCCTGCCAGTCAGTCACGTCGATTCCTGCAGCCACTGCATGTGACTCACTCTGACCGAGGTCGGACAACGTTGCCCCGTTCATCTCCAGCTCTCCGCATCCATAGCTTGGGCTGGCATGAAGAGAAGGAGGCCATGGTGCAAGCTGAGCCGAGCCACAGCACCTTGGCATCATGGGGGGAGCAGTCACGGCGTGCCAGCAAGCAGCACTGTTTGAACAATTGGAGCCCTGCGTAGTCATGCGCCAGCGCCATCAAGATCTCGCATAATAATAACGTTTTTACATTACACGCTTTTTATTATTATTAACTCACTCTGTTGTCGTTTTTGTATCCTCAAATCTTGGAACTTAATTTTAACCCACTTCCCAATGTGGTATCGACTGCAAACTTGGTATACGTATGTCATACTGATGACAATACTATATTCTATCATAAAACATTTTTTAAACATTTTTAATATGTTATGTTTCGGCTTGGGTTTAATTGTCCACGCTCAACTGACGTTGGCTGTAATTGGCCACGGCCCATTACGTTATGGCAAGCTTCGGGGCCACTTCCTAGAGTCGTGGAGTTCTGCCGTTACTCGTACAGTACATTTCATTAAAGCGTGTTTTTTTTAGAAAAGTTGTTTTTTAAAATATTACTTATTTGGGGGTTAGATTGCGCTCATATGAATGCGTCGTTAAACCCGCCACCACCCAACAGCCAATTTTGAAGGTTTGTCACGTAAAGAAAAGTGTCAATGTGTTACTGCTTCAGCACACCGGTGTATTGGAGAGTAAACCCACAATTACGCTTGTGATTACAACCAGCTTCATAAGACCGATCCTGATTTACTCTCCAACACATAGATGCGCTGACGTAACCAATCGGCCACGTTTTGTTTACGTGACAAATATTACTAATTAACTGCGTTGGGTGGTGGGAGGTTTAACTATATTTATACCATCTAACCCCCCCCAAAAAATACCTTTATCATGGATAGTCGCGAAAGCCTACGTGTTAAACGGACCATCTCGCTTGCGTGCCAGCCTGGCCAATGGAAGGCAGCAATGTTTACGTGCCAGCGTCTGTGCAGACACGATCTCTATTTGCCTCCCCGTCGCGGTAGAAGAGAAGGGTGAACCATCACAGCAGTCTGAGTCACTGCCCCTCCCCCCCCAACACCGCTCTCTGCTTGACTCGGTGTAACAATCGGCGAGGACCAAAGGGGCCGTCCATAAATGACGTCACGCGATTTTGGACGATTTTTGACCCCCCCCCCCCTTCGTCGCACGGCGTTACAAAAATCAGGCCCCCTTCAAATATGACGTCACAAAGCTCTGCCTCCCCCCCCCCCCAAAAAAAATGCTTTAAATCTCTTTTCAGAATCAGAATCAGAAAGGGTTTTATTCGCCATGTAAGTTCACACCGACACGGAATTTACTTTGGCAGGATGGTGCATACATTCAACATATAGGAATCTAAAATCTTAAATAAGTTTTAAACAAGTCTTACTATAATAAGGGTTAAAAGTCTAACACTAAGGGGCTGAAGTATATAAAATTAAATAAATATCGAATATAAAATAGCTTTAAGATATAATTTAAAAATACAAATAGGGAAACATAGTTAATATCAGCAACGTGTCGTTATGTAGATCAAATGTTAAAAACAGTGTTAGCCCTTGGCCTTGTTTAACAGGCCAGCAGCAGATGGGAAGAAACTGTTTTTATGGCGTGAGGTTTTGGTCCTGATGGACCGAAGCCTTCTGCCGGAGGGGAGTAGCTGAAACAGAGAGTGTCCAGGGTGGGAGAAATCGGCCATAATCTTCCTCGCTCGCCTCATAGACCTTGTCGTGTGCAGGTCCTCGAGGGTCGGTAGATTGCAGGCAATTACCTTCTCAGCAGTGTGGATGATACGCTGCAGTCTGCTCTTGTCCTTGGCAGTGGCAGCAGCGTACCAGACGGTTATGGAGGAGGTGAGGATGGATTCAATGATCGCTGTATAGAATTGCACCATCATTGTCTTTGGCAGGTTGAATTTCTTCAGCTGCCGTAGAAAGTACATCCTCTGTTGAGCTTTCTTGGTGAGGGAGCTGATGTTCAATTCCCACTTGAGGTCCCGGGAGAGAATAGTGCCCAGGAAGCGGAAGGACTCTACAATTTTTACTGAGGAGTCTAACAGGGTGATGGGGGTGAGTGGTGCTGTATTCTTCCTGAAGTCCACAACCATCTCAACTGTCTTTAGAGCATTTAGCTCTAAGTTGTTCTGGCTACACCAGGTCACCAGATTGTCAGCTTCCCACCTATAGTCAGACTCATCCCCACCAGAGATCAGCCCAATGAGGGTGGTGTCATCCGCAAACTTCAATAGTTTGACGGACAGATGATTGGAGGTGCAGCTGTTGGTATACAGGGAGAAGAGCAGAGGGGAAAGGACGCAGCCCTGAGGAGTTCCGGTGCTGATGGACCTGGAGCCAGAGACTTGTGTTCCCAGCTTAACGCACTGCTTCCTGTCAGACAGGAAGTCTGTGATCCATTTACAGGTGGTGTATGGCACGTTCAGCTGGAAGAGCTTGTCCTGAAGCAGGGCAGGGATGATGGTGTTGAAGGCAGAGCTGAAGTCCACAAACAGGATCCTGGCGTAGGATGCTGGGGCGTCCAGATGCTGTAGGGTGAAGTGGAGGGCCATGTTAACTGCATCGTCCACAGACCTGTTGGCTCTGTAGGCAAACTGAAGGGGGTCCAGGAGAGGGTCTGTGATGGCTTTGAGGTGTGCCAGGACCAGGCGCTCAAAAGACTTCATTACCACAGATGTAAGGGCGACCGGTCTGTAATCATTTAGTCCTGTTGGCCTTAGCTTTTTGGGCACAGGGATGATGGTGGAGGACTTGAGACAGGCTGGTACATGGCATGTCTCCAGGGAGGTGTTAAAGATGTTGGTGAACACCGGAGACAGCTGGTCAGCGCAGTGCCTGAGGGTGGCTGGAGAGACAGAGTCCGGCCCGGCTGCTTTGCGTGGATTCTGCCTCTTGAAAAGTCTATTAACTTCTTCCTCCTGAAAGGAGATAGTCGTCTCTGTAGTATTGGTGGGGGATGGGGCCTCTTGGGTTGGAAGGGGTGGTTCAGGACAGTCCAATTGTCTTTCAAATCTACAGTAGAACTCGTTCAGGTCGTTGGCTAGGCGGGAGTCGTTAGTGGTGTGGGGGGCTCTGGGTTTGTAGTTGGTGATCTGCCTGAGCCCTCTCCAGACAGAAGCAGCGTCGTTTGTAGAGAACTGGTGTTTTAGTCTCTCTGAGTACAGTCGTTTAGCCTCTCTCACCGCTTTGCTAAACCTGTTCTTCGACTCCTTGAATCTGTCTCTATCTCCACTCCTAAACGCTTCCTCCTTCTCCAACCTCAACCTTCTGAGCTTTGCTGAGAACCAGGGCTTATTGTTGTTAAAGTTCACCCTGGTACGTGTTGGGATACAGCAGTCCTCACAGAAGCTGATGTAGGACGTCACAGCCTCTGTGAGTTCATCCAGACTATTGGTAGCAGTCGTGAACATATCCCAGTCAGTACAGTCTAAGCACGCCCGCAAATCTTC